ATTCCCTAAACATATTCTACAAGCCTAACATGGAATAAAACCATTCAGTAATACAGTTTTTAGCCGTTCGAATCGGTTATCATAAGGTTTTACGAGATGATTAACACACAATCAAGTCCTAGTCTCTTTTTAATTTTCTAAAACTGTAGGATACCAGAAAAAATCACTATTTGCTAACCTCCCTTTGATGTATTAACAAAATTCTTATCTATAGTAAGCTTTTCTATAAATTGCTTTTTAACTGACCATGCTAAACTCAATGATCATTAGCTACTCTAACATAAGTGATGCTTCAGAATCTACATTTGAATATGAAATTTGATTGTAACATCTTATTTGACATATCAAAATTACAAATATAGCTTGTTGGCAAATGTCATCTAGGACAAAACTTCAGCCGAACTGAGCAACTTGCCAACTACCTCTAATCGTTTTAGACAAATACATTTTAATTTTCAGCTTACCGAAATCATCATTTCATTTTAGTATTAATAATCATTAGGTAAGCTGAAATATCGTTGGCCAGTCATGTTTTGTTAGGTATTTCATTAGGAAACTTATACTAGGAAAGAATAACAAGATGTTGATGTTAATTAGATTAAGACAAATACATGAACAAGTGCACACACATATATATATATATATATATATATATATATATATATATATATATATATATATATATATATATATATATATATAAACTTTGTAGGTTGAAAAACATGGCAACATTTAATTCTATTCGAAAAGAAAAGACTCAATCAATCATATTGACTTTGATAACTTATCTATTAGTATACGCTTGTGTACATATGCAAGTGACCTAATTACATGATAACCACCTACATTAATCGATTAAACAATTATGAAACTTCGAGAAATCTATTTGGACATATCCCATAGTGATTTTAACATAAAACGACTTATGAAAACAGAAGGAAAACTTTGTTGTAGAAAGAAAAAGCAGTAAAAAAAACTAAGTAGGGTAAATAAAAGTGTTGTTTTAGTGGAATACAAAATATTTTCTGAAACTGATGTAATGTGGCTAGCAATGGGATCCAGGATATGCGTTTCGTCCCATTCGGATGCGTCAGATGGATGTGACCACATCCTAGAGTTGACTTTTGAATCGAAAGGTACTGGGTTCAAATCCTGGAGTGAAAATCAACTTTGGGATGCTGATCTGTTCAATTGACGAGTCGCAAATCGGAAGGAACGCGCGTTCTGCATCCTACTACTAGCCATATTCTATCTATTCCATATAAATGTCTTTCATGATGACTATATCTAGGCAATCCACACATGATATATAACCATAGTAGATCTTAAGAAATCGAGATGGAAATTTACAGAACACCATATTTTCAGCTAGTGAATGACCTGAAGATGTCTATACTAACTCATACAATTAAAATGTGTATTCAGTCAGGGATCAGTATGTATACTGATAACCGAAGAAACTATAAGTATCTTAGGAGGTTAATATATCAATATGACATCGTTAACCAATAAGAAAACTTCATAGATATTATTAATGGAGTTCGTAACAATAACGTGGAGAGAATTCGAGGATGGACAAAAAATTCCTTACTCCCGTGTAAGGGTTGGAGAAGGAAAATACGTCGATGAGTTCTTCAGTTCAATGTTCTTTGATTTCAAAACAAAGGAAGTTGTTCTTAAAATGGAAAACTTCATTAATGATGTGAAAACCGTTAGCACTTTCTAATTTTCCTTACTATATTTTATAAGTCATTCTTCCATAACACATTGAAATGATAATGAATTTCTAACATTCATTTAATCAATTAAATAATTACTGTATTAATTACTATAGGGGATTTATACAGATTTTTAAATTTCACAAATAACATCATGGGCTGATTCAAGTCAAATAATTATTTACAAGTAGGAAGCACCAGATATCTGCTTCATTCCAGTACAAGCTCCTGAACAGTGTGCATCCACAACCATACCATCAGGGATCGGATCTAGGACTTTCAACATCACACGCGAGAGCCTGTAGTGACTCACTTTTTTACGAGAACACGACTGGTTTAATGAAAACAATTATTATTATAACCAACTGTACCAGTGCTTGTTTTAATGTGCTTTTGTTTAACTGTGCTAAAATCATCCATTATACACACTTCGATAGTGACCTCGCGCGAATTCGGTTGTGCTCTGTAACCAAGCTTATATCCTGGCACGATCTCAGTATTCTTTCGATACTACGAGATCGCCAGCAAATATATCTCGACTTGATCCATTAACTGCCTTCTGATATTTGGCTTCCGGGGGATTTTATGTATATCCTGGCACGCGTTCCTTGGTAGCGGTATTCATAGTAAATCTCGACTCGACGCCACGCTACAAGCTTAACTTATATGCATGGTTAACTGAAATCAGTCCATTATCCCAATTCTAATTATAAAACCACTGTGTCATATGATATTCGAAGTTGGTAAAATGAGTGGTAAGTATTTTTCTATGTCCCCATAAATATCATCGTGAATAAACATTTAAAATATTGCATACTATTAGCAAGTGTTATTTTATCAGATAATAACCATGCACTTCATTCAAATCTTTTTCCTTGTATACATTCCAGTAGATTGAGACATGAATACATTATGATTCGTAAATCTAAGCATATTCACAGAATCACTCCATTACATTGGCTAACTCATCTATTATACAACGAACAGGTTGTTAAAGCTAACTTAATCAAAAAATTAGAATCGTAAACAGATTGCCTATTTACAGTTATTTAGATTCTTATCTGCTTGCTTACGCCTGTTACCCCTCATGGAAGAACATAGGCCGCTCACCAACATTCCCATACCCACTCTGTCCTGAGCAATAATATCCACTTGTTTCCAGTTACTATTAATTCTTTTCATGTCTGCTTCCTATTCTCGGCATACTGTGCTCTTTTAACTTTCTCTTTTCCGCTTCCCTTCAGGATTCCAAGTTAAGGCTTGTATCGTGATACAGTTTGATAATTTTCTTAGTGTGTATCCCATTCACTTTCAGCGTCTTTTCCTAGTTTTCTCTTTAGTTGGAAATTGGTTCGTTCTCTCCCACATTAGGCTATTGCTGATGTTATTTGAATATTTTGCGTAAAAAATTGTTTGTGATTACTTGTATCTTTTTGATGATGATTGTAGTACTTCTGCATGTTCCATCTCCGTACAGTAGAACTGTCTTGATGTTTGTGTTGAAGATTATGACTTTGATATTGGTTGACAGGTATTTTGAGTTCGATATATTGTTCAACTGTAGGAATTCTGTCATTGGTTTGTCAATCCTCGCCAAATTATTTCGTTTAATTCTATATAATCTATTTATTCATGTACATATATATGAAGATATATTTTTGTCCGCAATATAAGAAAAGTAAAAGAAACTAGTCAACATATAATAAGCTGAGAATTCCATATTGTGCTAGACATATAATATTGAATGAAGCAGTTTATATTAGTATCATTGTTATTATTATTACTATCCAATAGATTTTTCCGTTTCCGTCATTAATTTTATTATGACTGTAAGTTAACTAATACTTAGAGAAGTGATTCACGAATCATAATCCTAGCTACAATTTCTCTACACCTGATTATAATACATCGTCTATCGTTTGCATCCTAGGCCTCAAACAATTATGTTTTCGGATTAGCTAGTTGGACCTTTTATTTGAAGCAAAGAGTAAAGTCAACACTTGTAAGTTCAGAACATATTCCTTTCTTTTATTTCCAGTCTTCAGTCTGATCTTAACGCACCAAAAAAAGTCTGAAATCATACTTTAAGTATGATCTCTCATAAGTCCCTTAGAAGGGTAACACAAATTATATGTAACTAACTAACAATAGATAAGGAAAAAAACATGAATCGTATAACAATAATTAATTAATCTAATGAAAGCTTACAATACAGGTAATATAAGGATACAATAATTCAATTATCTAATAATTGTACAATAAAATATATAAATAATAATAATCCATAAAATAATCCAGAAAGTTCCAATATCTTCAATGTTTGCATCGTTATAAAATATATTAAAATATAAAAGCTGAAGTGTAGCCTCATGGATTAAGTTGTAATCTCATACTGGGACGAAATGGTCATCCAATACTTTTAGGTTTTCAATGGCGGTCTAGCTTAGATCGACTTGTGAATTAAACAACTGTGAAAATACTGCAATCTCCACCAATCCTCATATTAATAATTGGTCTTTTTTCTCATCAGTCAGTTATTATTTGTTTTCTGACTAAGAAATCTCAGTCATAATGTGATGTATACTTATCGACATAAGTAGTATGTAAACCAATCAAAAGTGGAATACCTAGTAGCAGAAGGTTGAGAAGATCAAATCGAAGAGGGCAGGAACAGACTGTAATTGTAATGAGAATGAAGTAACGATGAAGTTTGAGACAATTGATGGATGATTTGTAAATATGGTATTTAATGTATGGGTTTCAGATCTTACAAAAGAACTCTGTAATTTTCTGTGAAAATACATTGATTGTCCTTACTTGAGTGTTCATTCTCTATAATAGAACGTTGATTAATTTTTTCTTGTTGTTATTGTAAAAGTATTTGTTTCAATTATTGAATGATACTTTTAGTCAGTTATCAAGATCTGATTCCTCAAGTTCTCAAAAAGTTCATCTTACTTACTATTCAACTGATCAGATTTTTTTAAATAGTTGAGTTCATGAATTGATTTAAGCTAAACCATCATTAAAAATGTGAAAACTTTGGACGGTTACTTCGTCCTAGTATAGGACTCTTCAGCAATAACCATCTACAATCCATTTAACCATTACCTAAATTAATACCATTACCTAAAGTAATAATCCAATCCTTAATTAATCCGTTTCTTTTTTCTCATCAATACAAGAACACTTCCAATAAGTTTTTTCTAATTGTCTTTTTCAGTTTTGTTTTCATTCTCCAAATAAACTTTTCATGAATAATAAATAAAGATTAAAAAATAACTAGGAACTTTTTAAAATACTAAATTCTACTACTATCCTTATTCTACTTGTATTATTATTATTATTATTAGTAGTAGTAGTAGTAGTAATAGTAATAGTATTAGTAGTAGTAGTAGTAGTAGTAGTAGTAGTAGTAGTAGTAGTAGTAGGAGGAGGAGGAGGAGGAGGAGGAGGAGGAGGAGGAGGAGGAGCAGTAGCAGTAGTAGTGGTAATAATGATAACTTCTAACGGGGTATTCCTTTGAGTACAAAATAAAGTTTTTTTCAATACTTTCACAATTACTAATTGCATTAGTATAATAGTATGAGTTATTGTTGTATTTTCAACTTTTACTGGTCATTGTTAATAAAAGAGAAACAAACAACACACAAACATACTTCAATTGTTATCTCTTTATCATATTTATGCTTGAATATACAAACTTAAATCTAACTTCAATAAGTCATTTACATTTCATTGTGTTTGAATTAGTTCCCTCTTTTCAATATTTTTAACATACTTTTTATCCATAATGAAGATTATTGATTTCATACGTTGGTTATTCAAGTATCATCTCTTTTGTTTACTGTTTATTTATTAGATGGTGTTCGGAGGTAGTCGACAGGAAACCCTGGACCCGGGTTTCGTGCTACTTGGCACTCGTTAGCAAGGTGTACCTGCAATCTTGAGGGAACTGGTGCTCCCTGGTGGAGCTTGCGCCTTACTGGACGTAGGAAAGATCCTGCAAGGAAACCTCTTAGAGGCCTACTTAATGATAGTCAAGCTAAGAGTATATTTCAGGAACAACTAGGAAAACAGTTAGGCAGCCATGTATGTGATGCCCACCCTGAGGCAGCATGGAATGATATCCGAAAAGCTGTGGAAACAGCAGTGATATCTGCTAGTAAGGTAAACCAGAAGGTTAGGGAGCAACACTGTATCTCAGCAGCATCTATCGCACTGATAGATGCTCGGAAACTCATTCCACCCGGCTCTGAACATAATGAAGAGCGGAGTCAGCTTAAGCGCAAGCTGACAAGAAGTCTATGCAATGATCGCGAACAGTGGTGGGTAGCGAAAGCAAGAGAGATGGAAAAGGCAGTGGCAATAGGTAATAGCAGACAATTGTTCAGACTCGTTAAGGAAACCGGAATTAGGAACCCGACTGTTAGCGAAACAGTCTCAGAGAAAGATGGACATATTATTCATTCTCAATCGAGGAGATTGGATCGATGGGCAGAACACTTTAGGGATCAGTGCAACTGGCCTTCAGCCACACTTCGGTTTCCCACGATCTCTAGTCAACCTGAATGGCAAGTTAATGTAGGTCCTCCGTCCCTTTACGAAGTTGAAAAAGCCATAAGAAATCTGAGACTAGGGAGAGCAGCAGGCCCCGACAGGTTTACTCCTGAGATTTTTAAGGATGGTGGTCCAGTACTAGCAATGAGATTAACCAAGGTCTTAGGTAGAATTTGGGAACTGGACGTAATCCCATCTGACTGGTTTCAATCACTGATTGTTCCAGTCTATAAGAAAGGACAAAAGTCCTCTTGTGACAATCACAGAGGCATCAGTCTGACTAATATAGTGTCTAAAATATTAGCTTCAATAATACTTCGACGCCCAACCAAAGCTCGTGAAGAACAGACTAGAGGCTGGTTCTCGACCTGGACGTGGTTGTATAGATCAGATATTCACACTACGTCAGGTTCTAGAACACAGACACAAATTCAGACGCCCCACAATGGTAGTATTTCTCGACCTTAAGGCGGCATTTGACTCGGTTGATCGTGAGGTTCTATGGCAGTGTTTGTCACTGAAAGGAGTACCAAAGAAGTACATTAACCTTATACAGGCTCTCTACTCGAAAACAACTGGTCGAGTGAGAGCTTATGACGAACTGTCATCAGAATTGATTACCTCAAGTGGTGTTCGTCAGGGCTGTCCACTCTATCCATTCTTGTTTAAATTTATCGTAGACATGCTTTTAGAGATAACACTTTCCTGATCCAAATTTTCAAGGGTTGAACTTCTACCAGGAGATTCACTTGTTGACTTCGGATATACCGATGACATAGTTGTATTTGGTGAAGACACTGACAAAATGCAGTCTTCTGACCACTCTAAGCAACAATGCGGTCATGTTTGGGATGCGATCCTCCCCCTCGAAATTTAAAATGTTGCTTCATGATTGGGTTGCATCAACACCCGAACTAATGATAGGGAGTGAAGTAGTTGAGTGTGTCGACCGCTTTACTTATCTTGGGATTCTGACCAGCCCTTATTATCCAGTGTGTGACGAAATCTCATCACGGATACAGAAGGCTCGACCAGCTTTTGCCAACTTGCGTCATTTATGGCGTAGGCGAGATATCCGTCTACCGACCAAAGGACGTGTTTACTGTGCAGCAGTTCGTTCCGTCCTTTTTTATGGCAGTGAAACATGGCCGTTAAGAGTAGACGATATTCGTAGGTTACTAGTATTCGATCATAGGTGTCTTCGAAACATTGCTCGTATATCATGGGACCATCGAGTAAGTAACACAGTTGTTAGGAAACGGGTACTAGGTAAGGATGGCAAATCAATTGACGAAGTAGTGAAACTTCGTCAGTTGAGATGGCTGGGACACATGTTACGTATGCCCAACGACTGACTACCTCGACGTGCTATCTTCAGTGGCATAGGAGTAGGTTGGAAGAAAGCTAGGGGCGGCCAAACCAAAACATGGCACAAGTCCATGAAGTCACTGTGGGCACTATATATTGAGATTAGATGGTGGTCGGAGGTAGCATTCGATCTGCACTAGTAAGGACTAGACCCGCATGACATTGTTCACCACCCAGTGATCAATCAATTGTGACTGTTTATTTATGTTTTTTTAAAGTGTAAATAATAATAGATGGGTATGTACAAATTAATTAACTCCACCTAAAGCCCCACTGGGGCTACTACGGGTTCGAAGCCCAGATAAACGAGGAGGGTTGGGCATAAGGTTAGCAACCCCATCTTGTAGAAAACTAACTCGCTAAAAATAAACGCTAACTAGAAAACATAATTCAAACCGTTTAAACTTTACCATAGGAGTTAGAAGGTCTTCATCATTTGTTTATGTACAAATCAGTTTGTTGTTTTCATTTGAGAATACATAGTATAATTAACACTCAATGTAATTTTAAAGCTATTGAAAATCAAAGAACCACTTAAACAGATGATGAATATAAATTTAGTATATTCTATATAGTAATTCTCATTACTAGTTCACTATTTTGATTTGGATATGATTACACTGACTCCTAAATTTAGGATAAATTGAATGATGCTTCTATTATAAACTGGTTCTAATGATTAGATAAAGTAAATGATTTATATAGTGTAAAATTTCAATGATAACAACTATAAACGAGTAAGAAAAGAGATTGAATATGGAACTCTCTAGAGATGACAAGTAAACACTTCAGATAACACTCTTTTTTAAAAAAAGAAAGAAAAGAAAACAAGGTAACCAATAGAAACATGCATAAATGACTTGGCATTGAAACATTACAAGAAATATAGCAATAGTTGTGGTAGGAAAGTTGTCGATAATAACTTTAAAGGGTCACAATAGTTAGTTTGAACCAATCCTAAGATTGATATTGACTGAAGTATCATTTAAAGCTATATCCTAGTTCAAGACTATTCAGTAAGACTTGTATATCTTCAATTTTTTCACCTTGTGTAGGGATGAATAACCGTTTTCAATAATTTCATCATCAGGCTCTATAATTATAAGTTCATAATTATTGTGTTTCCAAGCCTCAAATAAAGTATGCAAGTGAGTTTGGCAATATTGCTTGTTAAAAAAAAGATGAACTTTGCAAGGGAAATAACAAGTTTGCCATGTCTAATATAGGAATGTGGTAATCTAATCGTAGACCAAGTTAAATGCAAAGGCTTAAAATATCGCTTTTGAATACATAATTTCGGTCTTCTGGCATTGTTCATGAAAGCTTCAGCTAAGTAGATAAGTTGTATCTTGATCCTTTAGGTAGATTGTTTGAAATGAGACATAAAACAGAAAAGGCTTCATCCATATAAACATGACTTTTACTATCTACCATCAAGTGAAAAGGATGAAGTTGTTAGCAGATTTTATAGCATCTTTTCTCAACCATGCTGGTACATGTTCATGAGCCAACAACGGAAAAGCCTTCTGAGTAAGATCTATGTAAATAACTCCAATGGAGCAATTACACTGATATACACAAACGAAGGAGCCCATCATCTATATCCTATCCAGGCCAAGCAAGTATAGGAGTGATAAATCTACTGATTTCGCCATCCATTTTGCCATTTAGCGTTATGGTGAGGTTTTATGTAAATTTATAGAGTTTTTAATCTCTAGAACCTCTGTCTCATCTGGAGGAAGTTTCGCTTTTATAGATTTAGTAAACTGAATGCAACATCTGATTATTTAAATAGTTAATAATTAGGACGAATAAATTTTAGTCAACTTAACATACTGCCTAAACACCACTCAATGTCATCATTTTATGCTTATTTCACTCCTGACATCATCGTTTAATGACATTGAAAATCGAACAAATTTACTGAGGATGGACGTTCGGATCAATGGATTTCGACGTAATGAAGTGAAGGCACCAACTTCAACTTGGTCTTGTACTGGGTGTAAACGCATGCACTGCTGATATATGCCTAAATGAAATAGGATATTTGTTCAGTAAGTCTTGATTTTCATAATTTTACACTCCGCCTAATGAATCATTTTTCACTGAGTAATTGCTTTAGTTAGGTGCATTTTGTAGAGTTTGGTTCACTTTTTAAGTTGTATCTGTCACAGATTGATCTTAGAAGCTTAAAAGTCCTAGACTTGAATCTTGATAGGATCGTGCTTTTGAGGCATCTCATGTCAGGACAAAACAGCTATCCAGTGAATCTTAGTTTCCAAAGATATCCCAAGTGAAATCAGTTTGTGACGAATGCAGCCTACAATGGTAGATATCATTGATTCCCGTTGATCTAATATAAATATTATATCAAACAAAACATTCACTTATATATTGATACGTTACTACACTGAAACTTTACGCTATCTTGGATAACTTCCTTTCTTACATATTTATATCAAATATGTACTCCCAGTAGTAATAGCAAGAAAGAATCATTCATTAGAATAATAATCAAAATGTCGAAAAACTTGGGCGTTCCTGTTACTACTGATGAAATAAACAAAAATAAACCAAAACTCTATTATACTCTTAGGTTTAAAGTTTCAAACATGTTTGTATAAACACTCCCTATATCATGTTCCAGTTTACTTGGAACAAAATGTTTTCTTTCTCATTTATTGAAGAAGTAAAAATATAAGTAAACAAAAACTGAAATATAACTGAAGTCATTTAAAATACTTTACTGATCATCTTAATGAATGTGACGTTAAACAATGTCTCTTTATATTGACCAATCAAATCTCGCTGATTCCTATATGCTATCAGTAACCGTGTAAATGAAAATCAGAATGGGGATAGTGGAGATTGTAGTAATTTTAATAGTTGAATTCTTGAGTTGATTAAAGGTAGACCACCAATGAAAACCTGGAAGTAACGGACGGCCGTTTTGTCCTAGTATGGAACAGTGTGCATCCACAATCCCGCATGAGAGACTCGAACCTAGCATTTTCGGTTTTTTTGCGAACGCTTAAACTCCAGACCAGTGCTTGTACAGTTGGATATATATATATATATATATATATATATATTGTTGAAATGCAAGATCATCTATCAATTCTCAGTAATAACCAAGCTGATTTCGTTAAGTGGAATATTTTTTTCTGTTAATTTCATTGATAGACATTTGAAAATAATTGACAAAAAGTTTTAGGATAAGATTTCATTTCTTTTGACATCCATTATTAAATTGCATCTACAATATTTGAGAAAATGATCTTGACTACCGGAGTTGGATATATCAAACACGATTATACTAAATTCACTCGCTATTGTTTTACTTGTATCTTCCGATTGTTATTTGAGACTGCAATTGATCAGTCTCATGTTGGATTATGTGCATCCTGTTCGGATTGAATCGATATAACCTTGAGCCACAATGTTTTTAAGTAAAGATAGATAGTGGCTAACAGTGAAATCTAGGACATGCGTTTCGTCCAATTTGAGACTCGTCAGCTGGATGTACCTACGTCGTACGATTGATGTCCAATCCGGGACTTGAACCCAAGATCATGCTAGTTTGTCTGTTTAATTGTAGAAATTAGTGTATAAATGGCTTTTCGTTTACATGAACTGAGTTCAACTAGTAAACAGTTGAAAATCAGAAAATATTGAAATTTCTCAGATATACATGCCTAAAATCCAGAAATCCCAGATCTTTTGTAAAACACATTATCAAAAAAAATGATGACCTACATTTCCGAATTTATTCATTTCATATTATAGAGTATCAGTTATAGTTATGCTAGAAGGACTTCACTACTAATATCATCTCTAACACTAGAACATCATAAATATACATCGTAAAGTTCGTTAGTCACTTACTGAATAATAAAAAAAATAATCAATTATTGCCACAAACTAATCATCGCTAGACTACTTTTCTATCAAGAGGTGATTATTTGAATCCGAGCATATTAACCCAATAATCAATAAAAGAATAACAGTAAGAGAAACACAAGATAAAAATGTTACTTATTGTCTAATATTTATTTATTTTTCTCTCTCCCTCTCACTCTTATTCTTCTTGAAATCTTGTAATAATAATAATAAGCATGTTTATCGTTTGTTTATACAAAACAAAAATGTATTTGTTTATCAGTTTTCTTGATAAATTTACTCGGTTACATGGTCCTCTTTTTTTAATTATGTGAAAACATGACTGTTTACTTTGTCGTTTGATTTTCACACAAAAAAAAGAAAGAAAAAAAGAAAAGAAAGGAGATAAAATGTAAAACATTGGTCAATCATCATAATCGTAATAATAATAATGATATAAACAGACAAATAATGAAATTACATATTACAGATAACATTTGGTAGTTAGTAATCAGTAGTAATAGTAATATGAAAAGAGGAATCACATTACTAATAAATGCATTGATTTGTATTGCAAATATATAAAAATGGACAAGGGTTAATATTTGTCATTGTCATAATAGGAATTTATATCTATATATATCTAAACGTATGTATCTTTGCATATATCTGTATATATTATAATGTATAGGTATCCTTTATTATGAATATAATTTCTAACTTAATAGTTAACAAATAAGCATAAAACAATGAGGCACACAAGTGAGAAGAATATAGGCAACTAAAAACAAAAACAACTCAAGATAAACTTCAATGTACATAGTCTATAAACAGGTAAATAAGAAATAGGGGAGTACATGAATATTAATGATGAATAGTTGACATAAAACAAAAAAAAAATAAACGTTTATAAATTCATTTGAAAAAAGTGGTGGTGGTGGTGTGTGCTGTGGGGGGGGGGTTAACAAGCAATAGAAGAAAACACTACGATAAAATATTGCAGTTAATTTCACTTTTTACATATCAACAAGAAAAAAAGTAGATAATATTGCCATAACAACATAATTGATAATAATGATGATGAATAGGTTAATGTTATTCACATTAATTCACATTGATTTATTCAATATATTTTGGTTACTATTAATATTATTCCTACTTGAAAAAATTATCTTCATGTACACAAACTGATATCAATTGAACAATGATTCAGAAAAGAAGTAATGAACATATATGTTTATCTCAAATTTACATTATTAAAAAAATACAAATCAATAACTAGTGTTCTTTGATATTCAATAGTTTATTTTCCTTCTTCAATGGTTATCAGTTAAAAATAAAGTGTACTTTGCGATTATATACAATTGTAGACTTTCACAACAACAACGACAACAGAAACAAGAAAGCATCAGTTGAATAGAATTGTTTCATTGAACATCACACATTCATATGTAGATTATTATAATAGTTTAGTGTTTAAAAAATTAATAATCTAAATTGTTTAAATGTTTATCATGATACCGACAATCATCATCGTTGTTGTTGTCGTCATCATCATCATCATCATCATATTGGTATTCAATTAAAAAGATTCAAAGAGATTCAAAACCCTAATAACAATGTAGTCTATTAAAACAAAATCATTTAAAGGCTTCATTGGCAATTATAAATAAAGTTCTCATGTCACTAGTGTTTCTTTAAGACAGTAATTAAAAAGTATTAGAACTCATTTACAATTTCATATATATATCGTATTGTTTTGATGATTATCATTTGAAGAATATCGAAAGAACAAACTCAGGAAGAAAGAAGGGAGGGAGGAAGGAAGGAAGTAAAAGGAGAAAAAAGAAGAGGAAAACTTACCAAAATATATAAACTGAAAATGTACAATGTCTGTAAATATGCAAAAACAATAACTGTTATCGATTTTATCAATAATTAAAAAAAAGAAGTTATCTTTTTCTCTTCTCCTGGTGACCTATGTAAAGCATCATTACATGGGTTGTTTAATTATCAATATTAATTGTTTACAAATGTTTGATTATATTCTTATTTTATATAACCATTATTTGATTGAATATTGAATTTAAAATGATGTACCATCACTTCCACCACTGTTTACACCACTTCCACCGGAACTTGCACTTGTACCGATTCCACCAAGACGTCTTAATGGACTAAATTCAATTGGATGTAGACCAGTATTATTGTTGTGTATGATGGTGGTGGTGTTGTTAGTGTTATCACTTTTATTACTGTTATGTTGATGAGTAGGTGAATGTAAATGATCAAACTTTGTTGATAAATTACTTGATAACACATTATTATTATTACTGGCATTAATATTAGTACTACCACTATTATTACTATGATGATGATTGGGAATGCAAATATTTGCTTGTGGTGATGGCATTGCTCTTAAAATACGTGATATTGTTAAGACAAGTTCTGCAAATGTCGGTCTATGTACACCTTCAAAATTCCAACATTGTTGCATAACACTATAGATTGATTCTGGACATCGACTTGGTCGTGATAAACGTAGACCTTGATCTAACATTGCCAATATTTGTGCACCTTTCATATCCTAATAAAAAATATATAGACATACGTGCATAAAGTGATGTTAATTTTTTTAGAAAAGACTATACTTCTGTTTCATTTTGTAATAAAAATATGAGCAATTAGCTTCCTATTATCCACAACGATGGCTGATTTTAACAAGACAACATTATCTAAATCCAGAAATACTGAACAGTTGTTTTGTTTCGCTGCCTACTTACGATTATACTGGGATTTTGAAGTCAACACGTTTAAAACACTGAATGATGATCCTTTTTATCCAACTTCAATTGACTGCAAATATTGTGCAATATTACTCAATGTTATTAGTGAGTAAACGACTCACTCTCTGCACAATCTACATCTAACAAACAATTCTTATTAAAATTTAGAGAGTTCATCTAGAAAATGGTCACTAGTTAGCAAATAATTAATGTTTATTTCAAAAATTTGAGGCGGTTATTGATAATATGTAAATTTACATCACAAACTATCATGGACTACGGAACCAGAGAATTGCGAGGAGCGCTGGGTTATTATTTTATTTAAGTATGAGCCTTCTCCACAATGGATACATAGATTCTAACCAAGTATCGGAGCCAGGAACTTAGTTATTCACAGTGAGTCAGTTACCTAAAGAATACTGACTCGAAATTTATAGTCACTTCAATTTTGTTCCAGCGATGAAACATAGTTTCGTTCCAACTGATCAAATTAATTTACTGGCAGATGTCAAATGCCTGTAGCAAAAATGGCACTAGGAGAATATATACATATATATGTTGATGAACGCACAAACTTCAACTCACTCTATATGGTCTTTCACCATAGGAGTAAACTTCCCATAAAGTTATACCATAACTCCATACATCAGACTTTGAGTCAAATCGAAAGTAATATATACATTCAGGTGCATACCATTTTAGAGGCCATTTCCCAGCCGTTGCAGCCTATTTAGAAAAGAACACAAAACAGGTTTTGAAATAGAAAAGACTACTCAAAAAGAATCTCTCTTCCTAATGAAAATTGCGATTTGGAACTTCAACTATTTTGTATTTCTCTATGATATTTGATTTCGTTACTTACCTACTAAGCTAATTTTCCCGACATTCCAAGTACCTATATTAATTGTAGTTCTAGTTGTCAAAAGGGACATCAGCCTAGTGATCTCCGATGAATCTCAACTTTCAGCACGAATGAAGATCTTTCAACAGTGGAAGTAAAGTTCAAATGGTTAAGTTGACTTTTTCTGGTTGGTGTTTTTTCAACAAGATTCTCTTCTGTGGTATGAGGTCGATAACCCCATCCTCTACTCACCTAAATTATCCGAAATTAGGACCACCAGTAACCCAAGAAGTGGGGGTTCGACCTTATTAGATAAAAAGATAATTGACAGAAGTCTGTGTAAACATGATGTCGTCCATTGACTAGATTTCACTATAATGGAAAATGCTGGATAATCAACCGAAACAAGTTCATACTGTTACTGGAAATAGATGAACAACTGAGTGCTTAAGTTACTTCCGTTACAATCCGTCTAACGCTTTGGAAATACTTGAAAAAAATTAGTCAGTTTATTCCACAAACAGATTCTAGAGCATTATCATTTTGTAATGCCTAGGTAAAAATCAGTATGAAATAGTATAAAATACCTATATTTGACCATCATTTAATTTGATATATCCTGGTATTCCTATAATTTAAATATAAAAGGTCTCTTCTCATAGATTATTTGAAATAAGAGAGTAGTGGTATTGTAGCGAACGAGAACACAAGTGGGGACAACCGAAAGTATTTCAACACAGAAGCTCTTAATTAAATCTGAGAACCATACAGTAAATACTTCATTTGAAAAATATCCATCAACTGTCTCAAACTTGACTTTTCCTTCTGCAAATGTCAATCAGTAGTCTCAGACTTCATTGTTCATTCGATCCCACGCCAGTCATGTTTTGTTCTTGTTCTCTTTTCTTTTATCCTCTTAACCTTCTGCCTCCACGCATTCCACTTTTGATTGATGATACATACTACTTATATCTGTCAACACCAGTAGCACATGCCACAGAATATCATATCCTTTAAAATGATTAATAATAAGTAATGAATCTTCTATTTTAAAGAATACATTATATGAATTTTCAACTCGTTTATGAACTTGTCATTTCAAAGAAGTCTGATCAAAATAAAATGATTGTTACAAACCGTATCTGGTAAAACGTTCGGCATTACCTTAACCACTAGTACAAAGACAATAAATAAATAACCATTGAAAACCAGTTGTTTCATTTTGATATGAGACTCTATACCAGTACTCATTTACCTTTGTTTATTCTAGGAGTTCTAATTAGAAGCCATGACAAGAAAAGTTAAAACATATAGGTTCACAAAGACAAATTGTGATGGTCGCCCGAAATTGCGAAATGACTGAATGCACGAATATAAACCATAGGATGTCAACTCAACTGTCTAAAGGTTAAGAGTTGGCCATGAGGCTTGGAGTTTAAAAGTTCAATCCCTAGTTAAACACATAGTTGTATACTTCTGATCAATCCCATACTACGAAGAAATATCTGTTCAATTATTAGTAGTTTCTAATAGTTGTTTAAATAAGGTTACCTTGTGATTCAAACTACAAAATTTTCCAGTCTCCACAAAATCCTTATGCTGAAAACCACATTATTTGAATTTGTTATGTTGGAAAATTTTGATTAAAACTTACCCGATAATAATCACTACCGAAATTCAATGCTTTACTCATTCCAAAATCACTAATCTTTGCAAAATGACGTGTAACCAGTAGGACATTACGAGCAGCTAAATCTCGATGTACAAATTTACACGATTCCAAATAAGCCATACCCAATGCAACTTGATGCATCAGTTCAGTCAGTGTATGCACACTGACATCACTAAAAGTATGAGGTAAAAACAAACAACTTTATAGGAAAATGATATAATGAAAAAGGATTTAGGAGTATTCTGGTGAAACAATATAGTAGTGTAGTGACTAAAGGATGCACTGAAATTATGAACCGATCTAAGTTGAACCAACATTGGAAACCTGGAAGCATTGAACGGCTTTCTCGTCCTAGTATGAGACTTCTTGACAATGAACATCTACCAACGTGTGCGCAGGTTTCCAACCCAGGATCTTCGGTTTCACACGTGAACACTTGACCTTTAAACCACTGGGCCGGCATCCTACAGCGTTAAGGTCTAGCTTCATCCTGTACCTCCAGGTTTTCAGAGGTAACCTTATTTGGATTAATTCAAGATCTCAATGAAATTTAACACTTCAGTACTGACAATTTAAGGATTCACTCAGTCAATCATGATGTAGAACTTAATGCGTGTGAAAATCGGTCCACATTACCATATCCCACTAACACAGAGAGGTGAAATTGTCTGATGAAATCCCAGAGTAGTAGAGATAGTGAAAATATCACTGGTGATAGAAAAGATTAGATATCAAAGATACGGTTCAATAAAATATAATTTAGTAAAATCAAAACAAAGAAAATTGTTAAGAATTCGAAAGCTTAGAATTTAGAGGATGACAAATTTGGATGCACATTCGTCATTACAAACGATTTTGAGCCATGTCGTTTAAAACCTCTAACCTCTGGATGGATAGTCTACATCTATTAATGTGTTTCATTTCAATTGTCATTGGGTTCATTGACTAATTAAGGTATTCATTTTTTCTACCCCCATATGAAGTGTAACTTAAATTATTGACCTCCCTACTTGAGTGTAAACAAAAGAGTGGCATTATTTGGCTGCCCCCTCTACACCTTAACTGTGATTTTTGAAGATAAGCATATGAGATTGTAAATGATTATTGAGTTATATGAGTTATGACTTAATAAGAGTTAACTTAAAAGTAGCAGTGTGCGAAATTGGCAATCAGTCATAATCTTCTCATTTCTTTTCATTTGGTTATCAAAGCTTATGTAATCAAAATGCTTCCTAGAAAAAAGTAATCAATTTAGTGAATTAATTAAATTAAGAACTAATCAAGAAATATTTCATAATATTAGTGTATGCCTAAGTGATTAACTTAATTCTAATTTAATAGTTGGACTCATGAGTCAATGGAAGCTATACCACCATGGAAAACCTAGAAGCATTGAACAGCCGTTTCGTCCTAGTATGGGACTACTCAGCAGTGCGCATCCACGACCCTGCCACGCGAGATCTCAACTCAATACCTTCGGTCTCACGTGCGGACGCCTAATCTCTTGATCACTGAGCCGTCATCCAACGGTGCTAATGTCTAGTTTCAATCAATCCACAAAGTTGTGCCACCGTCCACCATTGTCCAATGCTTCCATGATGGTCTAGCTTCAAATGAATCATGAATTCAACTATTAAATTACTATAGTATTCACTAAAGTCCTTCACTGATTATAATTTGATTTTATTTAGTTATTTATTAATACAGTTTTTCACTGTACTACTGACTAATAGTATAAATAATAAAAATGATTATATTTTTCTCTTTGAGGTAAATGAAAAACATGATTCATTTATGACATCATTATTTATTACCCCTGAAAAAAACCGTTATATCAAATGATATATAGACTTAACATTGTCAATAATGTGAATTATACCTATAAGTAGGAAACAGTGGGATAATAGATAAAACTCTTGAAATTCACCAATTAAGTTGAAGATATCAGGGCAGTAAACAATATCACTGGTAATCAAATCGAAGTTGTAGACTAAAATCTATGTACATGACACCTAATGATTTATATTAAACCAAACATATTCTCAATATCAGTAAGGGGGTTTATGGAGATAATTGAGTTTTAATTGAAATCGTTAACCGATCAATGTTAGACCACCATCCAACCTTATACTGGTAGTTATCATGTGCTCACTAGTGACTAGCATCGAAAGGTAATTCTCAGAGTTCTAGTGAGAAGCCGTGACCAGTGGAGTTCAACTGTTTCGAGTGTAAGGGAGTTACCCACCAAAGATAACGGAAGATGGTCGCTCAACATCGTGGATTGGTTGGATTTAGACATTAATATCGTCGAATGCAGTCTCAACAGTCTAGAGGTCGAGTGTTCACGCGCAAGACCGAATGTCTTGGGTGTGGACCTCGCATGTTGAATCTCGGATACGCACTGCTGAGGAGTTCTGTATTAAGACGAAACAGTCGTCCAGTGCTCCCAGCTTTCCAATAGCAGTTGAGCGCATGAATTTAACTGTGAAAGTATCCTTCATAATAAATGCAAATCATAAAAAATACGTAAGGTTTATAACCATAATGTTCAGTATACTTTAGCATTACATACTTATATTTAATTTTATGCCTCAAATTTCATTTTATTTGCGTCGGAATGCGTTACATTAGTGTATTCATACCAACAAACAAATATAAATAGATTGAGATGCTTGGACTGAAGTTTTCAATCAAATATACAGCATTCATTTAATAAATGAACATGAAAATGCTAGATTTTGTACACTTATCGGACATTAAAAAACAAAACAGAAAGGGAACATCACACCAATAAGAATAAAAATATTCAATCTTTATTAACTTACGGGCGTTTTTTCAAATATTTATTAATTGGACCTAAAGGCGCCAATTCAAGAACAAGCATAAATTGTTCCTCTTTACATACACCTTTATTATTAAATAATAAACATGAAAGGGAAATATTAATGTAAGGAAAATTCTATTTCAAAGATAAAATTACATAACTTTCAAAAGCAAAAAGAAAAGGAGAAAACGAATGATATGTTACTACATAAATGGAAAAAAAAGTACTGATTAAACAATAAGTGGTTACAACATTATCATACATGGTTTCGTTCAGTGTGTCTGGTTTAAATATATCTTTTATAGATCACAAACGCATATGATCTATGTCGAATGATTAGGGGCCTGCTAGAGTTAGACGGGAATGGTGTGACGAACCAGCTTACGTCGAAGCCACATCTCACGGTCAGCACCTTACATGGATTGCTAAATTGACGTGTCAAGGCACTATAGATGCTTTGAAGACTGTACAACACAAAGCACATTATTACAGAAATATATTAGTTAAAGTAGATACAAGCGAAAGTAAGACCGCCGCCGCATGGGCCAGTCCATGGCGTACGATTGGGTGTCATCGACTTTGACAGAGATCGATGATCTGTTTGATATTCAGTGACTCAACTGCCGGATGATTTGGTTAGGGCTCAGTGACATTTCACTAGCCCTATACTGTAAAACAATGACCAATGATAACCGTCTAATCCATTTTTTGATTTGTCAGTTGCATGTTGCTTTTTCACACAGAACTCTATACTTAACTCTCTAATTCCAAAGAAGTAATTTTTCTTTAATACCCTGAGATTGACAGCCTTTAGATCGACTCAACAATTTTCTGATTACATAGATAATAAATCCTTTAAATAATAAGAACTCCGATCCTTTTCTGTTCATGTATAAACACAGCTAATAAAGAGTCTTGTATGGTAAATGCGTGGTAGATTTAGTTCTCTGCAAAGGAATTTTTTCTCTAAGCAACATCATTTCTACCGATATTGATATTGTTCAGGAAAATAATGAAAGCCTCATAATCAAATTATCTAGCTAAGACAATAAAACTATTAATATCATACATTTGAGCTATAAATTTACTTCATTATCTCAGATTTAGCGTAACTGAATATACACTATTAGTTAAACATTAATTCATATAAATAACTTACCAATTAATCTTACAATATGTCGATGTTTCAACTGAGCCATTGTACGTGCTTCAGCGAGAATTTCACGCTATTTTGTTTTCCATAGTTAATAAAGACAGTTTGCAGAGAGACAGGAACAAAACAGGATAAAGAAAATTCTTTTGATTAAACAGAAACAAAATCATACTTCGTGGAAATAAATGAAGATTATGATAATTTTAAAAATTAATTTTCAAAGTTAGCTAGTCTACATAAATGTAAATCCTGGTATGCTATATTAGGAGGATAAGATTAAATTAAAAAGATGACAGCTTATAAAAGGCTGAGCATTGAGAATGTAGTTCAGAAAGACAGTGTAAAAATAAATATGAAGGCGTACTGGAATCCAAAATCGGGAGTAAGGTAAAGAATGAATGCATATGCTCGATTTTGACAGATTATAGGTCATGTCATACATTATCTTCAACCTCTGACTGAGACTATCTAAAGGACCCCAATCAAGTAAACTGTATCTACTAACATGGCTCACGTCAGTAGTCATGTGACTTCATGGATTAATCACTACTTTTAGTTTGACCTCCGCTAGCCATAGATAGCACGTATACTAACCACCACCGTCATCTTTCCTCAATATCTTATTCTTAAATGTTCAACGTTATTATTTATCGGGGGTGGGGAAGCTATATTCACGAATAAACAACCCCGGTTTAGTGAATTCATTTAAAAATTTATTCGTAAACTCAGATAATTTGAAATTTTACGCTGAGTTAATTGGTAGCTAAAAATGCAATCCAGGTTGCACGACCAATCATGGAGATTTTGGCGGGATATACTCGTATCTCAAAGTTGGTATTCACTCCAAGTGTCTAATCCAGTATCGTTCACTTAAAATACCATCATATTATTTAATAAGAATGAACGAAAATTCACATCATCGAACAATCCAGTGGCTACCTGAACTCAGTAACTTTATAAATAACTTGATGACATTTGATGCAGGAAATACTGGGATCCAGTTATGGGATGAACATCAACTGTAGAATTCAGACACATTCAGCTGCCAAGTCCCGAAACAGAACAAAACGTGCCTCCTGGATTCCACTGCTAGCCACTATCTAATTTAAATTAATATGCTTTCGACTTGATGAAAATATAGAAGTGATCCATATAGAATGAATATATGTTTAAGAGAGACAGATCAATTACAGTCCTTAAACATAACTGAGAAGATTCAGACAGTTAATATAAATGGATTTGAAGTTTTGTTTTTGGTTAAAAGCCTTATAAAAAATGGTGTTTGAAATCAAACTAAATTTAGTGTGAATTAGGTTAGTGTAGAGTTTATTTATGAAGTCGAGTGCTTTCATCTTAAATATTCCAATCGTTAAATAATCACTTCCGCGTGACTATCGTAACCAATGGTTGAAGACTCTTGGTGACATGGCTCAGAATCGATCACAATGGCGTCGGTGCATACACTCTCTTTCTTTCCTTAAACTATGAGATTAAAATCACTTCATATCATTTTTTCTACAAACTAATTCTTTCTTCCTGTACTATATCCTTATATGCGATCTTTCTTTTATATATTACCAACATTGAATTAACTACTTCTATGAATGCAGTGTTCATCTTGTTGTGCTAATGCGGTATGGCAACTTGAACCGATGCATATATGTGTGTGGTCCTACGTTGTAGCTGACTGACTGACTGACTGACTGACTGATTTTCCAATGTGAACAATATTATAACAATGATAACAAACAAGTATTTCATTGAATGATTTACATTTAAAATATAACATTGATAAACATATTCATTATTAGTAATTATTAAAGAAAATAAACCATACAATTAAATACATTCATTCCTATAGTAATTGAATAGAGTTTCTATGTTCATTAATGAAATTAATTAATTGAGTCAGGAAAATGTCTTTCTATTACAAATATATGCTATCTTCTTACTATTATTATTATTATTACTGTCAGATGTGTTATATGCATATATATATATATCCTTTTCTACTACTGACATCTACTTATATACATATATGTATATATACATAATTACATTAAATGGAAAATCCTATTCCATAATTAATTTTTATATCTCTCTATTATTTTCTACTAAGTTGACTCGAAATTAGGTATAAACATAATTTACTGGTAGGATTAGGGTATTTATTATAATAATAATATTATTATTATCCCATGATGATGATGATCAATCTTATCAGCATGAATTTAGTATCATTGAATATACCGATCGTCAATCAATTCACCTCTATCTGATATCATATTTATCATCATTATCCTTATTATTAATGCTGTCATAATAAAAGTTTTTGGAAAATAATCAAAATACACTTATTTGATCAATACATTCAGGTATATACCTGAAAATTTCCATGTCTACAATTTAGTTTTAAAACATTCTATAAATGTGTGTGTGTGTACGAAAGAGATAGCCTGAAGAAAACATTATAGAGTCGAAATGTTAGGTAGGAAAACAAAAAGCGTGTACAGAATATAGAATAGAAATATGCACTAATAAGAGAATCAGTGTAGACAAATGGTAATGAAGCGTTTCTATCATTTATTTTGTTATGTTTTCTAACGGTTACTAGACTTTATGTTAAAAATTCTAATAAGGTGGTTAGTGAGATTTGTTTGTTTACTTTACTTATATTTTTTCCCTCTTTCTTTCTTCTTTTAATCCGTTCCAATATCTTTTTTTGTATATCCTTTGGAGTAAAAAGGTTGTACTGTGATTATGAATGGATAAATTTATTTATCCGTGAAATGTTATTTTCATTTTTAGGTAGTTCATCCCCCGTCACCCCCACTCATCGTGACGGGCCTGGTTAGCCCGATTTTTTCACACCGTTTTAATGGTCAGATATCAATAATGTCAGGGGATAAAAGATGCCAGAAACTACAAATCGACTGAAGTTAGAAATGTAACCCATAGGCTAACAACTAGTTGTCTTAATCCAAAATCTGAAGGTTCTGGATTTGATACCTGGCGGTTTAGTGGATACCGTCTGTTATTAAGTCCCATACTATGGTGAGACAACTGTTTAATGCTTTTTGGTTTTCAATTGTTATCTAGTCAAATTTAATCAGTGATACAAGACTACAAAATTTAGCAGTTTTCACAACTTCTTACATCATTGCCCAACTCTCTCATGTTCTTTTACCCTAACTTTCCGAATAATCCAATGCTATATGGACAAGATCACTGATCTCGTGAACTCGAATTGATAAATGATTATAGAAAAAAAGACAAACAAACGATCACGTAATACGTTTAACCACTAATTACGTGGATTTATACTCTTAGATTGCAGTGAAACAACTGATTTCTCAGTTGTTTAAATGCAACAATAGTAATTCTACCATTTAACAATTTGCACATATCGATCATAATGTTCAACTCACTTCACCAGAATTGACAATTTGATTTGGTTTCAGAGTTTTCACTGCAACTGGTACTTCTTGTCCTGAAGGAGTACGATACAAACCTTTGACCACATGACCGAAATTTCCTCCACCTTATTAATGAATATAATGATTTATATTTGATGAGAGTAACTAGACAAAATATAGCATTAAAACTTCTTAAAAATGTTTTTAAAATACATAAGATCTATCTAAAAACAACTGTACGTACAACTTATAGTGTAGTGAACGAGAACACAATTGGGGACAATCGGATTTATTTTAATACATTACAGAATCTCTTGGTAAAATCTGAGAACCATCCAGTAAATAATTCATTTGCAAAATGTCAATCAACTGTCGCAGACATCATTATTCTTTCATTTCCACGCAAATCATTCTCTGCTCTTGTTCTCTTTTCTCTGATTTTCTTAACCTTCTGCCTCCAGACATTTTACCTTCAGTTGATGATACATACTACTTATATGTGTCGACACACCACAATAGCCTATAACTAATCAAATGTAACACATGCGCCACACATGCAGATGAACATTTAACTGGGTTGGGTGTTACAGATACATGAATTCTAATGATTTTAGTGATTAACTCAGTAGATCTATCATTGATATAACTTAATACTATTTTCATCTTGATAGTATCATTCAATCGACTACCTGGCGATATATGAATACATTCCTTTTTTCAGAAACATTCATTTCTCGAAGATCCTTAATCATTTATGTCAGTGGAACTGAACTATATATATATATATATATATATATATATATATATATATATATATATATATATATATATATATATATATATATATATATATATATATATATATATATATATATATATATATATACAACTGAAGTAAAGTTTCGTTTAAACCTACCTAATCGTTCTTTCAGTGTTACTGTTTGTGAGTTTAACAAGAAATTCGATGGTGGCAATTCATCATAAATTTGTTGAGCATTCTCTGGACTGATTGCATTTGCCCAAGCGCTACGACTTGATTGAGTTTCTATTGGTCCGATATTACCAACAGTATTATTATTACTACTACTGTTATTATTATTAGTAGTAGTAGTTGAACAAGGTGTTTCATTATTATTATTATTATCTGTAAAATTTATTTTATTCATTAAATGATTTGAATTATTCAATGAAGAAGTACGACGCGTTAACGTTGGACTAATCAATGGTAAAAATGGATTATTTCCAATAAATGTGGATAAATTTGTATTAGTTGGTGTTAGTCCAGAATTTCCACAACTTCCAGCACCACTACTACAACTATCAAAGCCACCACCAAATGATCCACCACTACTGGATGTACTTTGTGCATGTTCTGAGAAAAAAAAACGAATTAATTCTGAAAACATCGATAATAAAAATATTAGAAACGTTTTACCAAATATATATATATATATATATATATATATGTATAACTGGAACACATCCGATTAATACTGTCGTTCAATAAAGCTATATTTCATTTATAAATTGACGAAATTATTTCTGAAATAAAGATCAGGATGCCAATAGAAATGGTACAACTAGTAGGTATGGTGTAACAGTACACTTGAATCTTAATGAAAGATCATATTTTGAGTAAATTTTTCACTACAGTTATTATACAAATTATTACGTAAACATGGTCACAGTTCATAAAATAATTGACTGTTAGCCTAGACTGTAATTAAAGCCAAAAACTGAATGAATGGTATTTATTCGGCAACCCCTAACACTGGTTGGATAGATTGGTTGACATGATTCAAAAGTGGTTTCAATGGCACAAAATATACAGTTTCTTTTTCTTCTTAGTTTTGTTCTTAAACATTATTTACTACATTTTATCAATTTACTTGATTTTTCCTTTTGGAACCATATTCTCCAATGTCTGATCTTTTGCATAGACAGTGATATTACGATTATGTCAGCTGTTTGACGATTCACCATGTTGATTTCTTTCCACTTTCCTAATATACTATGCTAACTTATGTTAACGCAAATTTATTCCACCTTATCTTGGAGTATAGCATAGATAATAAGCACAGATGAACAGTGAATAGTAGTGGAATCTAAGAGGCATGTTTTGTTCTATTCGGAACTTGTCAACTTGATATATCAATACATATGAATAGCATAGATTATCAGTATTTTTTTAAAGAAATGGAGTTAACTTATTTTGATGGATAGTTTACTAGTGAAATAGTTTCAACATTTTAATTAGTTTAACATCATAAAAATTTATCACACCAAGTTATAATTAAAACACGTTTCTTTTTGGTTAAACGATTCGTGGACGTTAGTCAACTAATATGAACTTAACAACCGCTGTAAAAAAAATAGAGAGCACTAAACATATTTTAATTCATAGTATTAGGATTCTTTTTAGTGAGTTACCAAGAGAGTACAACATTGATCGGATACACAACTCTAAGCTTTCATACTGAATATATTATCTTCAAATCATACATTTGAATTTCGATAATAATCAATCTGCAGTTCTTTTGACGATTATTATTCTTGGAATGACAAAATAAAGCTTAATGATTAAATTAATCTGTTTATTCTAGTTAGCGTGTCTTTTTTAGCAAGATTATTTTCTACGGGACCGGGTCGTCGACCCTATATGCCTAACCCTCCTTCTTCTACCCGGGTTTGAGACCGGCAGTAACCTTAGAAGAGCTACAGGTGGACATGGAAAGGATCAATAGCAACTGGAAACACAACTAGAAAGGATTATCCAGGATAGAGTTGGACAAAGAATGCTGGCCAGCTGTTTATTCTCCTTCATGAGGGGTAACAGATGTAAATAAATCACTAAGTAAGATTAAATCAATTCACTCGGAGAATGAAATTCCACCAAGAAATAAAAGAATATTATTGTTAACAGTAATGATGAATTTAAACATGTACTTCTCTCTGTGATATCAATTAACTAATTCATTTTACTAATGTTGATCTAGCATATATTATAATTATGAAAAAACTTTAAAAATCTTTTGGATCTTAGAATTCATATTTTTGTTTCCCTTTTTGATATACATATAAATACATATAAATACAATCATTGAAGCCGATCACCATGTAAATAACTAGTTCAAAGATAATAATAATCATAACAAGAAATAAATTACAGAACAGCTGTGTTTATTCTATTTCACGTTACTATAAGATGACATGAAGGTCATTTGTGAAAATTATGTAACATATGGTCATGGTTTCATCTTTTATTTTTCTTTCTCTTTTTTTTGGTATATTAGTAGCCATAATCTTATCAAAAATGAAGATAATGTATATAAATTATATAGAAACATAAAAGTATGTAGAAAAGAAATGAACAGCTTATAAAATATTTATGATTTAAGGAGAACAATTAACAATCATAATTGTATACGATATAGAAACATTATAGTTGACTTCGTGATTATTTAAGCCCAGAAATGGATAAATAGTCTATAATAATAAAACAAACACGCTAAGAGACACATAAGTATACCCCCAAATACCCTGGTACGGCCGAGAGTGGGGAGAGTCCGCTTTCTCTCTCCGAATGCTCTCACATAGTCTCTGCCAGAGAAGTCTTACTCACTACCTTCTCGTTGTAGGGGTGTTTACAAAATTAAGAGGACGAAAAGCGAATGTCCGTCGCTTTAACAGGGTTGGTGGACATGGAGAGTTCACCTAGAAGAGTTGGAAAACCCTGATTCCAAACCAGTAGTGCACATGGGCTCCAGTATCCAAAAGGAACTAATGGCGTATGAACCAATCGCTGGTCACAGGCTACCATAGGACTGAATCTCCTAACGATGCTCCACAGCCTTGTAAATCAGACCTTCATGTCGAAGGCTCGGAGTGTGGCTTCCTAAGAAAAGCACCTGCTTCAGTTTGGGCACTCGGGCGGTATCACAGCCCTCACACATATCAAACGAGATATGTGCGGCGCATATGTATTTGGTGCCTCATTGTACTAATATCTATGTGTTAAAATAAATAACAAATAAATAAAACTTAACTTTAAAGCTAAAAATCATCTATACTATTAGTTGAACTGTTTAACTCATCCACATTAAGTATACCTTCACATTTATACAAGATACAATCATGAACATTTATATTCAATCACTTAACATCTCAACATATTGTAGATCATTTTTAGTTATTTAGAGTAGCGATAAAATTATAGTTTGATCAATAAAATTCACTCAACACTAAATTATTAGACAAAAATGACATTGGTAACGACTCAGTGATTGATCAATGATTTTAAATATAACTCAGTCTTAAAAGAAGTCAGTTGCCAAATAGATAACTCAGTAACAATATCTGATACTGTGAAGCTAGCTTACATGGATTGAAATCATACAGAGGGTATCAGTTCCCTCAAGATTACAAGTGTACCTGATTGATAAATACTATCTAACACAAAATCTTGATTCAGGGTTTCCAATCAATTATTATTAACTATGTAAAATATTTAAGTATGACACAGAGTATTGATAACACTTGAAACAACTGACTAACAATTCAAACTATTTGTAGAACTGAGTATAGTTGAAAGTGGATGGAATATAACTCGAACTCATTTAATTTAAGACACAAAAGTTCTAAACCATATTTAAAGTAAGATGATATTTAGGTGAATATTAAGAGTTCAACATTAAAAAGAGATAATTAATAATAGGGCTAGTGTTATTGAACAATTTCACATTTGTTTATTAGTAGAAACATCTTGAAAATGAACTAAAAAGTAAGTACTAAGTATTAATAAATATTTTCAGTACTTATTCTATTATGCCGTTTTAAAAGTGGGATAATTGAATAGATTTTTCATTTCGCAGTAAAGTTCATTATTTTCAAACTATTTTACGGAATACACAGTAAGCATCCGAAGATGAGCCAACCAAATGGTGAAATGATTTATTTTCAAACATATATATCACTGGATTTAGACCCTAAAGTATAGAGGTGAAAAATTCATGTAAGATCGAAAATTTCCGATTTAATCCGTTACACGGTCATGGATACGTATTACTGAGGAATCCTATAAAAGGAGGAGACAGGTGTCCACTGCTTACTTAGTCAGTCAGTCAGCTACAACGTAGGACCACACACATATATGCATCGGTTCAAGTTGCCATACCGCATTAGCACAACAAGATGAACACTGCATTCATAGAAGTAGTTAATTCAATGTTGGTAATATATAAAAGAAAGATTGAATTTAAGGATATAGTATAGGAAGAAAGAATAAGTTAGTAGAAAGAATGATATGAAGTGATTTTAATCTCTTAGTTTAAGGGGAGACAGAGAGCGTATACACCGACGCCATTGTGATCGATTCTGAGCCATGTCACCAAGAGTCTTCAACCATTGGTTACGATAGTCACGCGGACTCCAACAGAGTAGTCTGCATCTACCAACATGGCTCAGACTAGAAGTTAGTGACTTCAAGCACCGATGCCACGTTTTGGTTTGGCAGCCCGTTACTTTCTTCCAACCATCTCCAACACCGGTTTGCATTGTATGTCGTGATAATCGGTGTTCAGGCATGCATAACACGTGGCCCAACCATCTCAGTCGATGAAGATTCACAACCTCATCTACTGATTTACCATCATTTCCTAATACCCTGCGTCTAACCTCACTGTTACTTACCCGGTGAACCCAGCATATGCCAGCAGTATTTCTAAGGCATCTGTGGTCAAATACTAGTTGCTTACGAGTATCTTCTACTCTTAATGGCCACGTTTTGCAGCCGTAAAGTAAAACAGAACGAACTGCCGCGAAGTATAATAGTTCTCTTATTGATAGATGGATATCTCGCCTTCTCTATCGGTGAAGTAAATTGGCAAAAGCTAAACGAGCTTTTCGAATCCGTGCTAAGATTTCGTCAGACACCAACCCACTAGGGCTGACCAAACTTCCAAGATAAGTGAAGGTGTCAACGCGTTCGACTACTTCATTCCCTATCCTTAGTTCAGGTGTTGACGCAGACCAGTCCTGAAGCAACAACTTGCATTTAGAAGGAAAGAAGCGCATTCCAAACATTATGGCATTGTTGCTCAGTGCTATCAATGGTTGTCTAACTAATATCAGTTTATGGTTTTAAACATAAAAAATGAATATAATCAATAATGTACTCGCTTATTGATTTATTTACACATTTCATACTATTTTTAAAAACTAATGCTAGCCACTATCCATCTTTGCTTAAAAAAACTTATGACTTAAGGTAATATGGAGGCAACCCGCACAGGATGCATACTTGCCAATAAGTTACTAATCAACCACAATCGTAAACAACAATCAGAAGATATAAATAAACAACACCCAGTGAATTTACATCTTTTATATACTGACAGTTCAGCGTTGAAATCAATTTGCATGGTGATTAGTTTTGTTTATTTTTCTTTATGTGAAAAATATGAAACATTTATTCATTTTTCTGTTGTTGAGATTTTTTAATTTTATTGTTGACATTTTACAAATTTCTTCTTCACAACAAGTTTCTACGGAATTCACCTCTTCATGCTTTTATGATAAACAGTCTGTTTTTTTTCTTTTTTTACTTTTCCGATTGTTTATCGATGATCTGTTAAGATAAATCATTTTGAACTTCAACTAATTTCAATGGAAGATTTAAAACCCAATTTGGTTTAATTCAATTCTTTATCATGTCCATAATTATTATAATCTTATCTTAGTCTAGACGTGAATACAATGTAAACACATAGGAAACAGCATCAAAATATTATCTGCTGAGATTTTTCTTGAAAAGAAGAATAAAGTAAAGTGAATCATGAAAGGTGATCTTACAATACATCAGTCAATTCTAGTGTAGTGTGTATTACTTATGCGGATAGATATAAGTTGTATGTAGAAAGAATTGGAAGTAGAGTGTTTACTAGTAGAAGAATGAAATGAAGAGAAAAGAAAAAAAATGAAAGGAGATCGGAATAACGACAGAGTCGAAAGAATGATGAATAATGTAAAGGATAACTCAAGGAAGATATGCAAATGTTGTATTTAATGTATGATTTCCATATTTTGCTAAACCATTGTGTATTAGGCAAAATATAACTAATTGTTTACCGTAGCTGGGTTCCAGTCACTACACTAGTAGTTGTGTTTTGTTTATCTCTATAATTATTTCTTTTTTTAAGTAATTAGTGGATAGATAAGTTTACTAAATTTGTCAGTAATTTTTTCCCCTTGTGGCCAGATATAAACCGGAAATTCATTAAAAGTCAATAAACACTTGTTAATTGTTTTTTCTTTGTTTAGATCTACTTATCAGCATTATATTATTCACGCCTGCATACTGGATCATATACCATTTGTAATACTATATTGTGAATAGATTAAAGATGTATAAAATGGATCAAAGGATTGCATTTCTTCGATGGATGAATGGTATAGTATTCTCTGGAGTAATACTTATGTTAACACTACTGAAGTCGTAAGTGAAAACAATTCGATTGGTCCAAGATACATCAAAGACTGACGTTAGTTAGACAACCATTAAAGAACAGAAAGTATTGGACAGCTAATTTATTGTAATATAGAATCCCTAAAAAGTGCCCATCAATGATACCACCCGGGATCAAACCCAGGACCTTCAAACTGGACAGGGATTATTCAGTCGGCATTTAATGGTTTAAATTTCCTAACTTCAGTCAATTTGTGATATTGTGAAACATCTGTCCACTTTCTTCGATGATACTTGTTTGAGGCCCATTATGCTTGAACTCTGCTGATCATGTGCACGATTAGATATCGATTCAGCAGTTCAAAGGTTAAGCTACTGTTATAACTACCAAAGGTTTTATGTTCGATTCTCTGTAGCTTCATAAATGTACTCCGATTAGTAGTTGTGGATTTGTATTATTGAAGAGTCCCATACTCAAACAGAACAGATATTCGGTGCTTTTCGATTTTCAATCATCATTTTATGATGTAAACAAATAAACTGTCTGCAATTCTATGGTTTTTAATTAATCTCCAACTGTCATCAGTTCATAACGAAAATCACTATCAAAATATAAAAAAACCATACTTCATATGTTAAATGAAAAATATTTTCGGATATCAGCCATGAGAAATTAAATGTTTAGCAGATAAAAGAAAGAACAAAGCTAAACTCACCTTCACTACAATCTGGTTCTTCCCATGGTGTATCCAATATCGGAGGAAAATGTAATGTTTGTGTTGGGAATTCTCTATTAATAATAGTATTAGTGATACGTTTGTCAATAATATTCACATTATCATTATGATGATCAATAGTATTATTAGCAGTGGTATGATTACAGTGATTATGTATAAAATGAGTATTAACACAACTATTATTCTTCAAATTATCTGTACTTGGTGCAATCATAGTTGTCATTACTGTAGTGGTAGTTGTTATAACATTTGTAATTGTACCAGTTATTGGTGATATTAATTGTCTGTTAGTAGACGAAGAAGAGAAAGCATTTGATACAACTTGTGCAATAGCATTGTCCACTTCAGCAAATGCTTTACTCATTGTTGTTAATGGTTCGTTTAATCTGATCGGTTTTAAACAACCAACACGTGAATCTCTTCAAAGATAAAAAAGAAGAGGGCGAGAGAGAGAGGGAATCAGAAGAAAAGGATAGTAACTGATGATAAATGTCAGGTACCAATGTTTTTTTTCTTTGAATTATTAATTTATGAATGATAAACAAAACATCGTAAAAACAAATACAATTAAATAGATAATTCGATGTTTATCTTTTTGCGTATTATAAATATTTGCTACTCAAATGAGGGTATATAAATATAGAAAGTATATCTGATAGGAATTAGTTAAATGGAAATTGATTTTTCGTATGAACTATTCAATGGTTTATTTCAGCAATTAAATTCCATATGCATTCAAAATATCTCCTGGAATTAAACGAGTTAATATCTTAAATTCACTTGATATTGTTTTACTTGAATCTTACTATTTGATGTTTAGGAATGTAATTGATCAATCTCTTATTGGCATATGTGCATATTGTGTGTATTGCCTTAATACTGCCTTAATTCACAAGCATTATAAGATGGAAAGTGGCTAGCAGTGGAATCCAGGACGCGCGTTTCGTCCTATTATGTACTTGAGATGCAGGTATATTCAGCTGATGAGTATCAAGTAGGAAGAAACTCGCGTCCTGGATTCCACTGCTAGCCACTATCCATCTTTGCTTATAAGACTTAATATCTTAATGGAAATCAATTATATCTCCATGTAAATAGTTTTATGTATATTGTAATAATAATCCAGTTTAGACTAAATAAACAATAAGTCAACCAACGATATGTTCGAGCATCGAGATATTACAGTACATCATCGAGCAATCTGTAATTATTTGTACACATTCATCACTTAGCCAGTTAAACTGCCTTGTTATCGTTAACTTTCATTATGTTAAACAAGTATACTGGAAATCGACAATTGATTGATCATTTAATAATGACTAATATTATGTATATTAATTTCTTTTCGAGGTGATCCACTTCGATTGATGAATTTTTAATGTCATCACTGGTTTAAGTGACTTGACATCGCATACACCATGTTGAGATGTTAGGCAATCGTAGACAGTCGACAAGAAACCCTATTTGACCTAGTTTTCATGTGAATCAACACTCATCAACAAGGCGCACCTATAATTTTACGGGAAGTGTTCCTCCCTGGGGGATTTGATTACCTTTAATCACCTAAAATATTGGGGATGCTTGTTTATATATAACTGTATTCCATCATTTCCCTTATTCAAGATTGATTTGAAATATACAAAATGTACAGATTAAAAATATTGTCTATCGTTTCATATCAATGTAATTCAAAGTTGTCGAAACCAACCATTTATAATTACGTAGCAAATCATTAGCCTTATTATTTATTCATTATTACTGTAATCAAAAATGTGATTTTGTACAAAGAGGAAGTTAACATACTCACACATACAAACGTTATACAAGTCAATTAAACAATTTCTATAGCACCGTGTCAAATTGATCGTCTATGGTAGACTCATATATTATTCAAATCATTATGATTACTTCATACTGGTTCGTATGACATTTAAATAAATTTATTACAGTATCCAACTGGTTACATTCAAATCAAAGAAAGACATTCAATAGAATAATAAATTTATTTATTATCATTATAATTACCAATATTTTTATAGGCAAAGATGGATAGTGGCTAGCTTTTGACTTAAGGTCATGTCGAAGCCATCCGTACAGGATGCATATATACCATTAAGAAACTGATCAATTGAAGACCCAAACAACAATGGGAAAATACAAGCAAACAACACCAACAAGTGAATTTAATATTTTTATAAGTTTCCTTTCCCTTTTTTATGTTCTCTCATGAACTAGCCTTTACTTCGCATTGATCCGAATTCTGTTTTTCTTATTCAAATAAACATTTTTATGTTTAGTACAAATAAATGGAAAAGCTATAAATCGATATTTGATTTCTCTCTCCGTGTGCGTGTGTGTGTCAAAGTGCTTTGATCTAATATGTTGTGTAATTTTGGAACAAAATATGTGGTTCCTGCTGTGAAATGAATTTCGCATGCATATTTTATGTATATTAGATTGATGATAAGATTATTACAACTAAAATTAGAATTAGTAACAAGAAGTCATGCATTAATTATTTATGCTGAGGTATTAATATTATTATTAAATGTAGACTAATGATATGATTTCATGATTTTCTTTGAAAAAAAAATTATTTTTCAAAACTTGTTAATGGAATGACATCAGATGGAATACTACCGAATACCTAGGAAGAATTGTTCGGATACTTTATCATAGTTTTGAGTTTAGGATCAACTTCCTCACTCGTTAGTTAGTTAGTTACTTAGTTATAAAGAATGTAGGAACCTGGGATAAATATGTCATGCTCACAGTTGTGACATCATACTACCTTAGTGAGATAAATACGCAAGATGTAGTAGTAGTAATAATTTCAGCGATAGTAAAGAAGAGCAGGCGTAGAGAATACAATCAGAAAATGAAAAGCTAATCCACGGGATAGAAAAGTTCAAATAATTTTAAAACTCAGAATCCAAGAGAAGATAAACAGTTAATACATTTGCTGTTTTGCGACGGACTTTGAGTTATGTTAACGGATATTCCCAATCATCGATCACAGCAGCTACATAATCGACACTGGATAACCTGCAATTACCAACACGGCTCAGACTAACAGCCTATGAAGTCGTAGACTAATGACATGTTTTTGGTTGAACGTCCCATAGTTCTCTCCCAACCAAACTATGCACTAGACAACATTGCACTTTAAGATAAACAACTCTTGAGCATACCTCATACAAGTTATTACCCACTCAGTCGATGAGGCGTTACTCACTCGATGGTCCCAACACGCGCAAGTAATACTTTGAAAGCATTTATGATCAAATACTAGTACGTTTTACCCATAAAGGACATATTTTACTCCATAAGTAGTTGAAAATACCATATTCCTGTCTCATGATTAGCTGACACGAGTCTAGCATGGAATTAACTAGGCAGTTTACATCACCGACGTGAGTCACTGATCAAATTATGTGCATATTTACATACATTAATTACAACAGTCAAATCATTACTATTGATTTAAATACTGAAATGATTTTTTTAATTAATATTTATTTTAAGACGAATATAGTTATACAATTTGTCACCCTCAATAATTACAATAGTGTAATAAAAAAGGTTTACTCCAATAAGTGTGTGACCAAAAAAGGCGAGTTGCCTACATATGTCACGTAGTAAAATAAAGTGTCAAGAAAAAGAAAATTCAAAAGGGATGATTGAAAATATAAAAGCTGAGGTGATATAATTAAACATTTTAAACATAAAATTAGTCAAGATTTACAGTTTTTGTAACGAACAGTTGACTTCCTTCTCCCCTTTAAATGGAATGTAAAAATTCACATTTCCCTTAATAGACTGTAGTGTAAAGTGGAAACTTTCCCTCAGCTCGAGTCCAGGAGTGAATATCAACTCTGAGATGCAGGTACATCCAGTTGACGAGTCCCAAATAGGACGAAACGCGCGTCCTGGATTCCACTGCTAGCCACTACCCATCATTGCTTACAAAAAGCTTGTGAATTAAGGCAATATTGAGGTATACGCACAGTATGCATATATAGCAATAACAGACTGATCAATTGCAGTCTTAAACGTCAATGGGAATATACAAGCCAAATAACACCAAGTGAATATTGAGTTTTATGGTTGAAATCGAAAACTTGAATAAATATCTGAACCTCATTGAATCACACTACCTAAGTTAATACTAATTCAATAACTATGAATCTCTTCTGTAAACTTAACTCATTATACAATTTCTCAACGTATTGTAATACTGTAATACCTTTCTTCCAGTTAATACCAAATATGAAATTGTTATGAAATACCGGTTATAGTCCTAGCAAATAAATTTTTTAATGTACCTTTCATGGCAATGACATAACATTTAACTAATGCATTATGCCACCTTCAAAATGCTTTCTCGTACTTTAATTATTCAAGACCACTTCAGACTTACATGTTTATGAAGGTATTCATTCCAATAATAATTCAGTGATCTAAAATAACATCCATTCAGTACATACATTTTACTTACATTTTATGCTCTTTTTTTAAATAAATAATAAAAGCCATGAGCTTTTAACGATTAAAGACATAATAAAACTAGAGATTTGGTAAGACGGACGAATAAAGCGAAGAGATTTCCTTTAAATTAGTGTTTCATCATGGCTCCACTCTAATATTTATATATGGGATTTGCAACAATGAAATAACACTCATTGAATAATGGTGTTACGTAACTATTTTATTGACACGTTGATGATAAAATAATATTGAGTAACAGTATAGGGTCGTGGAGAATGTTGAGTTTGAATTGAGATTATGAATTGATCAATGTTAGACCATCATTGAAAACCTGAAACAACAGTTCACTGTTTCCAGGTTTTCAATGGTTGCCTAACACTAAACAGTCCATAACCTCAACTAATATTGAGTAGTTAGACGAAAAGGGATTATAGTAATCAAAGTGATTGTTTGAAAAAGCAAGCAGTTACTACATAGTATAAAATATAAACAGAAAGAATTGACAAAATATTCAGATGTAAGGTCAGTAATATAGCAGTTATGTTAGAATCAAACTAAGAATTTTGAGAGTATGTAAAATACAAAAGTGAAAGAAATCAGAAATTTATTTGAATATTCTTGATAGAATGAGTTAAATGAAAATTCATCTAAAAGCTCACACCTATCCCGATGGCTAAACTAACGAAGGTGGTTCTACAAACATTTTTGAATGCAAAGGTTGGATTGGTGAACATAGATTTCGATAGCTTCAGAACTATGCAAAAGACAAACTCGTAAACTGTGTGGTAAATTTAATGATATATAGTGGAAAACCTTAAATGCCTTATTCAAGTCAACTTGATTTATTGTGTCCACCAAGTGAGAGAGAATAGAACTCTTCATAAATCCTACCTATCCTTTGCTCATTCAAGACGGATGGTGTTTTGCCCTGTGATGATGGAATGCTCATGTGAAGTCAGTTATACAGGGCTTGCAATTACGTAACTCAACTACATGATGAGTATTATTTCATTGTTGCAAATCATATATATAGAGTCGTGATGGAAAACTAATTCAAAAGGAAATCCTTATCTCTGTTCTCTCTTTTCACTATAAATAAATATAAAATATGGTTTAATACATATTTCAATAGTTGAAATGATGAGTCAATTGAATCTAGACCACCGTGGAAAACCTGGAAGCATTGGACGGTCGTTTCGTCTTATTGTGGGACTCCTCAGTAGTGCGCATCCACGATCCCGCATCCGCGAGATTCGAACCCAGGACCTATCAGTCTCGCGCGCGAACGCTTAACCATCAGACATATTTATCAAATTCATTATCCTAAATATAGAATGTATATTCCATTCGGTTTCTGAACTCATCAGTTGATTATGCATGAGACTTGAACTCAGCACCTTTGTCTTTAAACATTAACTCATTATTCATAATGAGGAAATGAAAAAGTTTCTTATAATTGGTAATCAATTAAATGTAACTTTGAATGTTTGATAATCACAAATAAACAGATTTCAAATGTTTATCCTACAAAAACAGAAACTCATTGTATTCTAAACATAATAACAAACAAACAAATATCATGTTTACTAAATAAATAAAAAGAAGGAAATAAACATATTCAAGTAAACAAAGGATTTTTCTTCTCAGCAGTTGAAATCATGATTCAATTGAAGCTAGACCACCATGGAAAACCTGAAAGCATTGGACTGCCATTTCGTCCTAGTATGGGACTCCTCAGCAGTGCGCATCTTTCTTTTTCTACATAAAACTAAATGTCATATTTGTTATTAAACTGCCATTCATCGATATTCACCATTGAAAATCAAAGACAGTTTTAAACAATTTCAAACTATGACATATTCTATGTTCAATAACCAGAAACAAAAACAAAACACACAATAAATGTCATTTGGAATGATTAATTACAATAATAATATGAATAACTTATGTATATCTTAACTACTAAGTTACAAATCCCATTATTCTTGCCTATAGAAATAATTAGTATTTAAGTAATGTATACAGATTTACAATATCTGAATGGATTGAAGAATGCTAAGAAAACAACAAAAACTATTTATTTTGACATATCTATCAATTGATGAGTTGAAAACGCTTAAATTAAATCCATAGATTGACCCAATCACTGTTTACTTTTATCTTTGTCAAAATAACTTTTAACATCACTACATGACAATTGATTGTAAATATTGTGCTTCATTTTTAATGTAGAATTTTAATTTCTGGTTATATTATTAAAAATAACTCGATCGAATTGTGTAAGTAATTAAAATGAGAGAAGATAATTAATAGTTATGATGGAAGGTATTTTCAATAATATTGTCGTCTTTGAGGTTCTGGAAAATATTACCGGCACTCCATTTGTGCAATTAGTTATTTAATCATTTTCATTACCATTCAGTAAACAGTTCAATACTTGCGCCTAATAGATCAGTAATGGTGAGTGGTTGTTATATCCGGATGAAGAATAAGTGAATAGAAACTGTAAGGATTTACTTATGGACTGTTGTTATATATATGTTCTTGCTGTATAACTATTGAGTGACTAAATTATATGTATATTTATATTTCTCTTATGATAAGCTTTCATTTGACCTATTGACTATTACTACTCATAAGTTATTCCCGATTTATTGATTACAGTATCTTACACTCACAATCACTTTTTGGCCTGATCCAGTCTAATTGTTATTTTCTATTTTATGGTATGATGTGGTCTGTTTTATTTGTATATAAATTGCTTATGTCTGAAATGCATGATTCATAAAGCAGAGGCTGATATTGATGTTCTGGACTCAAAAATTCAGAGCTATTACTCAAAGTTGACTCTAGACTGTTCGTACTGGGCACCGCATCATCGGTTTGGTACAGTATCAGAGCCGTAAAAGTCAGTGTTCTCTATGGTAGAATTAATCGTGTGATATAATTAATAGGGCATAGACAACAACAGTAGTTGACCCTTGCTTATATTGCATTGTTTTAACAGTGACGCTTCTAATCCGAATACATTAAAACTCCAGTCTAATAACAAGTTCAGATCATGAAAAATTGAGACTATACAAGCTATCAACCACGGTGAATGCGTTCACCCAACAATCGTTTAAATAATCGACCCGTAGAAGTTAGTTAAACTTAAAAACCAACTTCTCCAAGGAGTAACATGAAGTAGAAAACTGTCAGAAACTAGAAAGCACTCGATAAATGTTTCACTCAATTCCTTTTTTTAAGAATCCCTAAGAATTCATCTACTATAAAATCTAAAAGATATAGATTTGACTTTGTGTATGGATTATTGAGGAGTTACAAACTAAAATTATTGTCAGAATCAACTTACTTTACGTTAGCATTACTACTCATAGTAGTATTATGTGTATTATTACTAACAGATGTAGCTTGTCCATTCATTAATTTAGTAACTTCATTTATTTCTCTATCGAATAAGGCCATTTGTGGTATAAGTGTAGATCCTATTAACATAGCATTTGTGAAATTACCAGAATTTGATGTTGTAACCATTGCCGATTCCGCTAGGGTTGTTGTTGTAACTTTTGCTGTGGATGTTTGAATTAAACGATTTGATGAAAGATGTTTGTTATTATTATTATCATTATTACTGTTAGTCATTTTTAATGGTGTTTGTCTAGATGATAAATTAACGATGGATGGAGTGAATGATGTTTGTGAATTTGGATAACGATTTATAAAATTACAAGCTTGTTCATTTGCTGTTATCGTTGTATTAGCTCCTGGAACAATTGATCCAGTTGTTCTTATTATCTCATTTGATGAATTCTAACGGAATAATAAGAAATATGGGTAAGACAAATGCGAGAAAATGTTATCATTATTATTGCTATTTATTACAACGATGATTACAAATGGAACAAAATATTTCGTAGTTTGCATCACGAACAAACATTGATTAGAGGTAGTTACCTATCAGTCTGATTAGATAATGATTGTACGATAATAGGAATTAACTAAAATTAGGGTGGTGACTGGCAGTGGAACCTAGGATGAGCGTTTTATCCGATTTGTGACTCGTCAGTTCGATATACCTGCATCTATGTTGATGTTTACACTGAGACTCGAACCTAATACCTTTTGCTTTAAATACACGTTGCGCTGTCCTCTGAGCTGCTGAGTTCAGAAAGCCACTAGCTTTGTGTGCTGGATCCGAGTTCTGGTATGAATATCAACACTGAGATGCAGGCTCATCCAGCTGACGTGTCAGTAATGGAGCAAAAGCCCCGTCCTAGAATCCTTTGTTAGCTATTAATTCATATTTCATTACTAACAGGGGAATTAAACAAAGAACAAATTACACACATACAGTTTTCCTTATCACCTCGTAACATCAGTTAGTTTAATAGATAAGGATTATTTAACTAATGAAAAACACGATCTTTGAGTATAGTGCTACATGCTATGATAAGTCAGTCATCCAGTGTTTCTACTTAGCTATTGAGCTCAGATAGCTAATAGCTTGGGCAAATAATAACTACTATTATTTGGTTCACAATAGTCTACGGGGAATTCGTGCTCTTCATAGCAGAGGTTCATATCATACATAGTGATGAGAGCAGACACACTATTACATAAATTTCATTCATTGTCTTTGGTATCTCTTAGTGATGATGCTGATAAAATATAACTACATTTTAATTAAGTATTGTATTGAATGAGAGACCAAAATGGAAACAAAAAAGCATTTTATTTTTTACGGAAACTCTTAGATATTTTTCTTAATTTAGTTAAAAAGTCGAATAGAGAATAGAATTATATTTAATCAAAAAACTTCGTGGTTTGGTTGAAGCTAAACACTAACAACGTTGGATGTCAGCTCAGTAGTCTAGAGGTTACCCGTTAACGCGTGAGACCAAAGGTTCTGTGTTCGAGTCCCGTGAGTGGGATTGTGGATGTACACTGCTGAGGAGTTCCATACTAGGCCGAAACGGCCGTTTAGTGCTTCCAGGTTTTCAATGATGATCACGCATTAATCGACTCATGAATTCAACTGTTAAAAAACTTAAGCTTACAGTTTTATTTTAGAACATATATAGATAGCAAATTAGTCTTGTTTAAATAATCAAATCAGAAGAATAGATCACGTCAAAGTTAACCAAACTTGGAGTTCAAAACAAGTTCATCAGGCTTCATTGTAAACTGACTGAAGTTGAGATTGTACCATCAATCGCCGATCCAGTTATTCCAGTGGTCCACTGTAAAACCTAAAGGTCCTGTGTTCGACGGCTGGAGAGATCATTGGTCCATACTGCTGATCAGTCTTATAATGAGACTACACGCCCTATGGTATTAAATGGTATCCTATCTATAATGAAGACCACCTACTAATTTAACTCAAACTAGTTAACAGATCTCATCAGTAAGAGTCTAAAATTTATTTGAATTATGATAGGAGGCAAATAATATCAACACTTGGAATATATTTCCTATATTTACATAGTTTACCCATATATTTGACAAACAATTTTCAGATGTAATAATAACTGTTCATTACACAGATAATTTATTCCAAAATGTTGCATGTAAGGTCCATCCGCCCATTAACCATACACATATACAAACTATAAACCAGGTTAGAAAATAAAGGATATTAATTTAGCAAACATGAACTATAGGATTTACTACTACTGCTAAGAAATTTTAAATTACAACTAAATAACTAACCAGTACTACTTGGTCTTGAAAAATTGGCTCTTTACCTGATGTTAATCTAAGGGCAAACATAAAATACTTGAAAAAATAATGATATGATCATTAGTGAAATAGCTTTAAGATGAATTTGATTAAGTACCAGTCAGTAGGTATGTTTCAAGAGGATCTTATCAAGTTAAGAGTGAGTTAATTACCTACAGATAATGATACAGAATGAGCTTTTTGCTACATTTTAAATTAAATGAAGATTAAAATACGAATCAATGGATTCCAAGTGAGTAACTTAATTGCATGATACTTTCAGCAAAATCTATAGTTTCCAAGGGTTCGATTGTGTATGTGTACTGCTGTAAAGGTGTAAAACAGTTAATAAAATACTTTGGTTCAGGGTTGCTTGTTTTTTTTAAAAAATTCTCTGAATAACATTATTTCAAAATAAAAACCCTCGGTTAAAGTACACTTTACTGGTGAACAAATGTTAAGAGAATGACTACTAAATTATACATAGAGTTCGAACTTGATGATGGATAGCTTGTATCTTTATGAGACCTACCAATATGTACTTACTAAGATTTCTACAATTGATAACATGATAAGACCAATATATCGAGATTAGAATTTATGATTTTCTGAAGGTAAATCGAAACTTAATTGTACTCAAAACTAAGAAACTAAATTCATAAATATAAATCCATATGGTTGCAAAATATTTCTAACATTGATTCTAATCACCACACCAAACTACTGACAACTACTCTATACCTTAAACATCATATATGGCAAATCATTCAGCTTTTACAGCCTCATTCTGATTGGTTAAAAATGTTATTCATTTTCTAGGGTCAAGTTTGCTTGAACTAAACTTTATTCTTAAACTCTATTTTATAATCAAATGGGCCTATTAATGACACTCTTAAAAAGATGTCTTGTATGGACGAATAAGTGACATGGATACAAATAATGAGTGAATAGCTATGAATGAACTATGAAGTTCCTAACTGTCGAATTGAATCTTGGTCGTAGTAGCAAATTATTCGGTTGGGGTCCGTGTGATAACTTCGATCTGTGGTTAAAGACAATGAGTGACAATTCAGGATCATTCGCAATTGTGTAGATTCATTCACTTGTTTTGACTTTATTATTTCGTACTTTTGATTTTCCAAAACTTATCCTCTTTTTTTTAAATAACCTTCTTCAATGTTTAGTCTCTCTCAAGGTTAATTGTAGCTACTATAATTTAAATTCTTTTCCAATTCATCTTGTTAAGGACATCTCACTTTGACGATGTAATGCATCAACTTGATCTGATATAACACTATCAATTAAATCAACCACCAATTTACTGCATATGTTTTACAATAATTAATCGATTCATTTCTATAGAAAGAAAATCATTGTTTATTTCATCTATCTCTTTTAAACAACAAATAAACTCTACTCTATATCATCTCTGAACATTCATACACAAATATACATGTACACGTACACAACGACACACAATTATCAAAAAGGAAAGAATAAACAATCAGAGGTGTTTGCCATATGTTAACTGCAAACAATTACTCTATATATGCATGAATTTATCACATAACTACTCTTCTAATTTCCATCTTGGCAAACAAATAAACTAACTACAGAAAAAAAATATATATTGCATCCCCTGTATGACTTCACTCACTTGATTGGATAAAAGCATTGTAACATTTGGCCATTCATTGAATGAAATTAAATCTTGTCTGCTTGGATTTGTAGCAAGAGTAGGAGTACTGTTAATAGTAGAGGTAGTAGTAGTGGTAGTGATACTAGTAACAGTAGTGGTCACCGGTGTTATTGTTTTCGAGGTTATTGTATCGTTTACACCGTTACTCACTATAGATTGTATATTAGTAGTAGTAATATTGTTAAATGGATTAACTCCAGTGACTGGAATTGAATTAAGAGATGGCAATGAATGACTACCATTCCAATTATTTGACGTAATTGTCTGTGGTTTAAACTGTTGATTTTTATCGGAAATAATAGGAATCTGTATATGAAGAGGTGAAGCGAGAGAGAGATGAAGATTAAATATCTTTCATCTGCTTAACCTATTTCACACGAAACTATTTAAATAATATTAAACCTGAAAAAAATCATGATGTTTCATTTAACATGATACTACTTAAAACAATAGTTCAAAATACATTGATTTATATTTTCAACTTCATTCGACCAGAGATGATTACAAAGCTTAACGAACTTAGATCATGAGTTAATTATCATACAGTTAAATCTAAGCCTCATGCGAAATTGTAAAATCTATCTGTATGAATGCTGTCATGTGTTGAAAACCCCCGTTTAAATGGTGATTGCGATGAGACATTCAATGAATCGCTCATGAAATCGTGTCTACTATGAGTTCTGAAAATTCTGAAATTCATTCTGAGTTAAATAATGGTTCAGTACTGTTTAGGATTTACATAATAGAACAGAACTATTTATTCAACGACAGTTTTTAGTGTTTCAACATATACCTATAAACACTATATGCTTATAACTGAATAATTATAATCTAAGAACTTTCAAGCTCAACACCAACTCAATAAATATCTTTACATTCATTTACCTAATCAAAGTTTGACAAAATAAAAGAATAGCAAAGAATGTAACTTTAATATTTGAAAAAAACGAAGAAACATAACCCAATCAGTGATAATGCTGTGACTTATCAATATTATGTACCCCATAGTATGTTACACCTATTACTGCACGAATTACAAATGTTAGAGTACTTGCAATCATTTCTAATAATTAAATTAGTCTAACTCACTTTTCGGAAAACTTTCTAGTACTCCAAGAATTTATGTAAATACATAAATAATCTTCACATCATCTTTTTACAAACTTTATGAAGCGATAAAAATTGAGAAGTTCAATTCAATTGGTATTGTCTGTTTGAATCTTCCCATTGATGTTTAGAACTGCAATTGATCAATATCTTGTTGGTATATGTACATCCTGTGCGGACTGCCTAGATATTGCCTTAATTCACAAGCATTATAAGCACGGATGGATAGTGGCTAACAGTGGGATCCAGGAAATGCGTTTCGTCCGATTTGGGACTCGTAAGCCGGATGTACCTGGCTATCAGGACCAAGTAGCTAACTGGATAACATGATGAGGTTTGAAGCGAATAATACTGAGTTTGAGTCCCGAAATGGACGTCATTTCCAGGATGCAGGTATATCCAGCTGACAAGTCCCAAATAGGACGAAACACACTCCTGGATTCCACTGTTAGCCACCATCCATCTTTGTCTAGAAGTTAATTAGAAAAGCCGATATCACGACTGTATAAAATATATTTCATAGTTTTTTTGGTTTAAATGTTTTTTTCTCTTAGAGGCTCTTTGGTAATAACTAAAGTACATAGAAGTTGTATATTACTTACAAGCTATTTTGTCAAAGCTCAAAATTCTTCAATAACGGATAGCTACAAACATACAATGGCTTAAATTTCCTTAGATTATGTAATATAACCCTCAAAAGACATATGAGTTTTTTTCCATAGATGTGAACTATGAAGATTCATTCGAAGTGCAAAAAGTTCTTATCATGGATTAACATCTACCGATAAACTATTGAAATGCAGGAAACTTTGAATAATTTACTCCTCTGAGTTCAAACCTTTGCAGAAATGTGTCAGATGACCTTAGAGATAACTAAATTTAAAAGCTTAGAGTTTGATAGGAGGCATAAACCTACCAATCAGTTGAGTTGGAACAGAATAGTTCACATTTCCAACCACAGTTAATTTGAGATTTAGTGAGGTTATCATCCAACGAGGTCCTTAACCATAACTGTTTCTCATTATCGATATGTTCATCTGCAAAGATTACGCTCCATGTATCGAATTGATTGAAGATGGAAATATGTACCACTGAATTAGTGTGAATGTTTTCGTGATTTCAGAGAAACGCCCATATTCTATATTTTATTACTTATTTCTGCACTAGTTAGTGGTCTCAAGCTAGATGGAAACGTCTGTTGACTAATGACCAATTTCTAATCTGTATTCAATAAATATTGAACCGTTATAAAATGTATCTTTGAATGATAATTTACTCTAGCATTTTATGATTCTTATTTGAAACTATTTATGTCTTAGTGAAAGGAAGATATTAATACAGAATCTTACGAAAAATAAACAGGCGAAAGCATGCATGTTACATCTGTACATATGTATTATTGACATGGAAGCATGGAACGGTTAGTGGAGTTCAACTGCAGCGGGTGTGAAGACATTAACCACCAGAGAAGATATTAACGTAATATAATGGGTTGACTGAATCCCTGTTAAGTCATTCTTAAGTTAAGCATTCACGTGAGGGAATGAAGATCCTGAGTTTGAGTATCTATTAATAAAGAATCCCGTACCAGGACGAGACAACCGTCTAGTGCCTTCAAAATTTCAATCGTTTTCTAAAGTATATAGTTTCATAATTTTAATAAAATTCAATAATCTCCACAACCCTATACTAAAATATATATACAAATCGGATTGACAAAAGCACATAGACATTGAGAAACAGAACATAAATGTAAATTTTGTTTGACATACTCTTTATCTCTCACATACACGAACCAGGCTACATATAGGACAAAACAATATGTAGAATAACAACAAGAAAACTATATAGTACTTATGAGTCCTTTTGTCAGTGTTACAAAAACTAAGTAAGCAATTAAGTAAAGTAAAGTAATTAAGTAAAGTAAAGTAAGTAAGTAAATTAAATTAAAGTAAAGTAAGCAAGTAAATTAAATTAAAGTAAAGTAAGTAAGTAAGTAAGTAGAGTAAGTAAGTAAGTAAAGTAAGTAAAGTAAGTAAAGTAAGTAAAGTAAAGTAAAGTAAAGTAAGTACACTCTAATCTAAACTTAATACAATCTTTCATAAAAATTTATAATTAACTCATTTGATTGTACATTTGAAAAAAAAGAAAACCAATCACAATTTCACCTGGTTTATATTTAACTTTCAAAAAAGAAAGTAGATTTGATAAGAGAACAAATTGTAAATGAAGAAAATAATTGCCTCTTTAAAGAAAATCTATTTGAAATGAACTTATTCTTATTTAATGCATTAACTAATCAAATTGTTCAATAATAATATGAATAATGTAAGAATTATATTCATATATATACATATTCAATGAGTGAATAGCCAGACTCACCTTGAAGTCATCCTTTGTTGTAATTTTTGATACACCACCGGAACCTTGGTAATCATTTTTTTTAAAAAAAAAAATAGCGAAAAAACGAGTAGAAAATGAAAATTTATCAAGTTAAGATAAATAATTTTATATGAATAATAAACATTTAATCTTCACGAAATATAAATTACAGATAATAAATAATTATTGAGGTACTTTTCGTCACAAATGGATCTATATTTGAGTACCATTAAGAACTAGGGAGTGCATTGATAGAAAATGATATTATACTATACTAATCTAGTGTTCTATTAGTTAGGTGATTGCTTTGAAACTTAAAGGTTATCGATTCAACCCTTGATGATGATATCATCGGTGTTCACTGATTAGATGTATCATACTAGAATGAATTAACTGTTCAATACTGCTTGGTTTTCATTGGTATCCTAAATGAGATCAGTCTGTGAAGGAGAAAACCTACAAATGAAACAAATCTCCATAGAACACTAACTAAATAACCATGTTACTAAGTACAATGAGATGATAAAGAAACTTTTATTTTTAGTTCAAATAAACACATTTCTGTAGTGCAACATTCTCTGAGTTGATTGGTTTGATCGTGAAGCTTTAATTTTCTCCATAAATCAACACTGTCATTAGTGAGGCGATTTAAAAGCAAGTGGTAGTTTAAGAAAAACAAAGTTCAGAGGATGTAACAATTAGTTTTATAAAAACATACATTTGCAGTCTGTGCTTATTACAATGAATTTCATAACTGTTTTCATTTGTATCACTGATAGTGTTTGTTTAAAAAATAAATAAACTAGACAACTCAATGTTGATTAATACAGATGAATTATGACTAGTATGGTGCACGCTATTTATGAAGACAGATATAAGTAGTATGTAGCAGCAATTGTACGTGGAATACTTACCAGCAGAAGATTGAAATAAAGATAAAAAGAAGGAAAATAAAGAACAACTAGAATAACAACAGGATTCAAAGAATGATGGAGTATGTAAAGGACAACTGAAGGAGGTCATATAAATGATGTATTTATTGTGTGGTTTTCAAATTTTACAAAGACACTATGTGAATTGAGTTTTCGTTCACTACACTAGCAGTGAAATCCAAGAAGTGCATTTCGACTTTATGGTGACTTGTCAGTTAGATTTGCTTACACCTCGGTTTTACTGTAAATACTGAGACTTGAACGCTCAACGCCAGAGCACACTTAATTCTAACTAAGTTTTAACTGAATGAAATGCATATCTTAAATTCTACTATAAGCCACAATTCATATGTTCTACATAAGTTGTAACAGAATCATTACATTGGGGTGATTCGTACATGATGCACACACATGATAACTAAAATTCGTCAATGATAATATCGCTGACAAAATAATCTGAACAATTTTGCTGCAATAACATAAACTAGATGTTTAGCTAGTTTTTCTTGGTTCAAGTTGTTTGTAAACAATGTTGTATTTGGTTTATTTTCGTTCACAATCAATTAACAGTTAAGAAATTAAATCTATGATTCAATGAAATCTTTTCTCTTTAAAACATGATTTACCTAAATACGCATTATAAAATCTATTTCAATACTAATGCTATGAAATCTGATGTACTGTTTTGACGTCTTAGTTTGACCTCCCATAGCTTTCCTTCAATCTATACCAGAAAACGTGGTCGGTTCATACCGGCTAAAGTACTCCTATAACCCATCAAACACTTAATTACTGTTTTTTCAGAGTATGTGAACTTTTAATAATACAGAATCACCACACTATTAATGATTGATTGCCAGATCAATAGATTAATGAAGCAAATGCATTAATTTTAACTCAGTTACCTCCTACCTAGTAGTCAAAATTTTCTACTTAAACTAATTTGTAATTTACGTCAACAATTAATCAGTCCAATTGGTGGCTAACTGCTTTACTCCTGATATAGTTGAACTCCACTAATCATGATGTATTCTCATTACAACTAAATCCTAAATGTAAGTAATATTTTTTCATGGGGGTGGAAGAGATGATAAGCTAAGCAAGCATAGTCACATTACTTATCTGTGCTCATATGTCATCTCAAGGTTAAGACGCGAGTGCAAAACTCAGAAACGTGACATGCTAGTGGGAGAAGTGAGTTGTGAACCTACTCATGGCCCCAGTCTTTATATCCCTGAATGGGCTGAAAGTACAATAGTATACGGACCTAAGATTTGTGTATATTAAAACTCGGTTAAGTAAATAAAACTTTACAGTCATTCCACTCTTTCCTTTAGCATAGTGTATTTAGAATTTTGTAGAAAGCTTACGTGTTAATTAAATCGAATCGTTGATAAGACATTAATTACATTTGTTTTGAAAATAATAATTACTACATTAGAACTGACTCTTATATCATGTCGCCTGTAAATTATTACATGACAAGATCACCAATTAGAACATCGACCTATACAACTTTAGCACTGTATCAAACCAATAACGTGTTAACCAGTACGAGCAGCCAAGAGTAATCTCTGAGTCTTTATTAGTTCTTCTTGCCTTCCCCTGACCTTTGAGTCCAGAACACAATCTCCGCTTCTACTACATGAATCATATATTTCAGACATACATAATTTATATACAAACAAATCAGACCACATCATACCGTAGAATAGAAAATAAAAATTACACAGAATCAGGCCAAAAAGTTGCTGTGAGTGTGCGGTATTGTAACCAATAAATCGGGAGCAATTTATAAGTAGTAATAGTCAATAGGTCAAATGAAAGCTTATCATAAGAGACATATGAATATATATAATATAATAATAGTTTATAAATAGCTCCTTACAATTACCATGCACTTATTCATCGTTATGATATAACAGGTTCTTAACATATTTTACGACTTATCACGTTATTATCTTTATACACATTGAAACCAATCTTATCCAAAAAAGAAAAGAACTATTTACTCTGGTTAATCAGAAAAAAACCAATATGATTTTTGATTAAGTTTTCACATAGAGAAATAAAGATATCATGAGTATGTTAGATGAAACACCTGTTGTTTGTTTGTTTGTTTGTTTGTTTATTCATTTATTCATATATGGTTACATCCATAGATCTATGATAAATTAAGTTACCGATTTGTTACATTAAACAATCTGTTACTAAGATATTCATTCATAAGTATTTCTTTCTTTTCTAATATTATTGTCCAAATTTTAGTTCATAATGAACAAATTTTATTAGATGTGTGTAAATAGAAAATTATTTCAATAACTTAGCAACCAACATAATAGATATTCAAAGTCAATATATTTTTTTCGTTTTTTTTTTGTTGTTGTTGTTGAGAGAATAGATAACATGAGCATTTATTCATTAGTCAAGATCATAAATGAATACATACGGAAACTACAAGAAATTCTATTTATAGAATTGTTCTGTTTTTTTTATTAATGTAAACAAGTTAACGACAAATAATTTTTACGTAATTTGACATAAACCACGAATCTCTCATCCTAATAAAGATCATATAGTCACTAATGAATAATTTCAAGAGGCAATTCTTGAAATTCTAATGAAGAATTGTATTCCGTTAAAGTTTACTATATTCAATCTGAGGCAATTTTACTTATCAAGATAGTTGTTAAATATCATGAATCGATTAAAATCAGTCATGTTTTAAAGGTTCACTTGTCGCTACAAAACCTAAAGGTTTTGAGTTTTATTCTCATTGCGATATGTAGATGAACATTACTGATAAGGCTCATGCTAGTTTAAAGTCATACAATACAATATACCCTTGTGGGCCAGAGTAATTTTACATTGGTTTTCAGGAGGACCAGACAGCATCCGGACTTTCACGTGAAAACCCAAACAGTACAGCTCAACCCCGTTTAGCAAGGGAACCAGACACTGTATAGTTTGAAACAGTTGTCTAAATAATCTTATAGTGGTTTTGCTTCGTTAATCAATCACTCTTGTAACCGTTGTTATATAAATTTTAACGGTGTTTGAAGTGAGAAGGCAATGAGAAGCGGTAACTACAGTTTATTAGAGGATAACGAAGATCACAAAGCTATAAGCACATCAAGAGGATTTGAAACATAGAGGCAAATATGTATATCTCACTGTCAACCAATCATACGATCTAACTGGAGTCAGATCTTGGGCCGCTAAATTCCTGATTCCCTATAGTGTGTTGGTTAAATTTGGTTCAGAATATAAATTACAGATTTCCATAGTCGATCAGTTATGATGAGTACAGTCGTCTGTTAGTTTCTGTACACTAATGAGTGGTTAGATTTTTAGTGACGAATAAGATCGCAAACCAGTTTTATGAAACAGATTTTAAACTTTATCCAAAAAGTTAAACGATACCTGAAAAAAATTACAACCTTTTCCTCATATGGCTTTATCATAACAATTTTTACATTTAATGGAATATAAGACAATATCATTTTATTTTAGGCTTACTTAAAGTAGAAAATCTGTTAAACACAAATCTGAATGTAAGGGATGGTTAGAAGAAGTCAACAAGAAATCCTCGACCTAGGTTTCATATTATTTGGCACAGGTCAGCAAATTGTACCTGTAAATCCTAAGGAAAATAATGCTTCATGTCGGATTTAATCCTATTTACCCAACTTCATAGTCAGAGACATTATCACCAAACTATAGTGATCGTGATTAACTTCTTATAGAACTGAGATGTATTTTCAATTGTACTAAGAAAGACATGACATTTGTCATTACCGAGTGATCAATCAATTGTAAAAAAGATCTGAATCTATATTTGTCTTGTTATAGATTACTGACAAACTAGTAACTAGTTTAATTGTATCAATAAATAGGTTACAATTAACTTTCAAATGTGGCAGTACAATAATAACATTGATATCATGTAACTTTCTATGATTCATAGACTTACCTGAAAATGAACGTGTGAAATTCGATACTGGTATTGGTTTTTGTAATTTACATAATAATCCATCTTGACGAAAATGATAATGATCAATTAGCTAAATAGAAGGGGAAATAAATCATATGAAAGCTGAGACAGTGAGAAATAAATATATTTTTCTCTAAATTTGTGAAAGCATTATATCATACTATTAGAAATATTTAAATTATTTCGCTGGCTACTGATATTGTTTTCTGATATATGCATATATATAATCATGAACTGACCTTGAGTAGACAACAGTCATGTAAAAGGCACTGAGCAGATGATTCGTCCTAGTATCCACTACTTCATGGAGGATCTAACCAAAGACCTTTTTCTCCATGCGTAAACTCTCAATTTCCAGTGCTTCCCGGTATTCAATAATGGCCTGGTTAAGATCAGTTCTTGATTTAAACTATGAGAATTCTAAAATCCCTCTAAATCCCCTATTATATATATATACTGTCATCTAAGGTGTGTATTTGTATGTCAATGATCATAACAAATAATTTACAGACCCATTATTTCTGGTTATGGACAATAATGTTTTAACTTTAACAGGATCCACATAAAAACATTGGTTATCGTAGTGAATAAATGGGATATAGCTAGCATTGGAATCTAAGAAGTGAGTTTTTTTCTCTTTGGAACTCGTCAACTAGAAAGGTCTTCATCCCAGCGTTAACGTTCACACTGGGACTCAAACTCAGTACCGTTCAGCTAGAATCCTAATGCGTTATCGGTTGAGATAATATTCACAACAGGACGATACATACCCTCACCAATACTCTTATAGAACTACCCAATAATGATTCAAATGAATAATTACTAAGAAGCCAATTTTAGGGTTAATTAACTGGATTGTATGAGTAGAAGATTTACATGATGAACGTCATTGATTTGGTCAAAAGTAAGCCTGTAATGAATGTAAACATTTCATTAAAAGTATACTATACCTATAATGAAATCGTTACATTACATCCCTCAGTTCTTATAAGTTGAATCTCAGCTATCGATCTTTTGTTTGCCTTAGTAACTTTACTTAAAAAAGTTATACTAATCATATAAAATTATGTGTCTAAAACATCAGGACAAATGACTGTAAACAATAAATATTGTGTTATTTCAACAAATTTAATTACAAATTTTCTTCGAGAAGACTGTATTAGCTTCTATATATACACTGTAAATACTTTACTGACTGATCACAAAAGGCTGAAAACTCATCAACAAAAAATATATGTATCAGAAAGGGGTATTGTGGAGATTGTAGTAATTTCAATAGTTGAGATCATGAGTACTGTACATAAAACTGATGTTCATCACAAATATTTCATTTCATAGAACCATTGGAACAATTTAAACTCCAATAATCAATCTTTTTACACATCCTAGTCTTTTTACACGTATGAGCTAGCTCTGTGAAATATTTATATTATCCCTGAGAGACGTTAGAAATCAGATAACACCATGAACAGTCATTTCACGTTAATTTGAAGCTAAACAGCACACATACACACATGAGATCAAACCAAAAAACCCATTTGATTCTCGTTGGAAGTATGATTCAATGCAAAACTAGCCAACAGATAAATCAGTATATAACATTATATAAATATAAATAAGAAGAACACTTACTTCCATGATGGTTTCAAAATATTGTCCACCTTCTATAGACCATCTACTTAAATATTCTTCAATACGATAATGTTTTGGTTCATTTTGACTTGTTAAACTTAATACATATGTTCTGTCTTCTTTACGATAACGAACTCTGTATGTTACATTATTATTATCATGATTGTCATTAGTGTTGATTTGTTAATCGGGTTATATTTTAATACAACAAAAAGGATATACAAAAACAATGATACGATTACTATTATATTAATTAAATTTATGAAGTTAATATATACATCTTTAATTTTATTAGATGGTTTATCTCCGTTGAATTTGTCTTATAAAATGTACTTTTATTCTTATTAAGTATATAATCCACCTACCTACCAGGTTTAACTGATTACTTAAAAGCAACAAAAAAGAGAGAGAGATAATTCAACGGAACCGGAATTCATTATGTAATGAGTCTGTATAAAACTATAAGTTAGTTCTATTTATCTATTATTCAGTCAATTAGTCAATTTTGATTAACGTAGATCTTGGTATAGACATATGCGTTGGTGAAAATTACATAACATTAGCATAAAACAATGAAATTCACAAAATGAATTTCAATAGAGATTGAAATAATGTTTGTCTATCCATAATTAACATGAAAGAGTACAAATTATTGATAAAAGCGTTGCTAGACTATCAAGAGTATTTTGATAGTGTTGTTTTTCACTGAAGTGACCAAATTCCTTGAAAATCTATTTAGTATAGGTGGATTATACGGTGTAATATGGTGAAGATTTGTAGCTAAGGTGGATGATTTTGGTGGAGTTTCGTTCTCCGAGCTGAATCGTTTGGTCGTGGAGCTTTCTGAACGACATCATCGACACAAACTTAAAGTAGAAGTGAAGTGTCCAAAATTCTTCACATATAACTCCCAGCATTTTTAGTAGACCTCGATCTTGATTGGCTATTATTAACCTTTAACCTGTCATTGTTGCTAAAGCTCCACGATCAAACCATCCAACTCAGAGAACAAAATTCCACCAAAAATGGTATAATATTCACGTGATTTCTCCATCTCTAATTTTCATGTTCATTTCAATGTTTCCAAAAAAAATCGTTTTATTTTAATCTCTCCAGTGTTACAAAGTTTGGTATCTTGAATAAAGTTATTCATCCTTCTATGTGTTCGTTTTTTGAATTTTTTAATAAAAATTCCATTAAAAGCTCCATAACTGTTAATGATTGATCAACTAGTAAGTAGCCAACATCCTGTTTCTCCCAACCTTTGCCGATCAAGATACAATATACAATCTATGTTGTTTATTAAATGACATGACATCGTGATGCATGTTTCTTTGATATTAAGTGGTTAAGAAAAATTCACCGGAAATTTTGATCAACCTACGTTTTAAGACAAATAACAATCTGATTGATAAAAACTTTAATCATTTTACGATAGTCCCCCTTCAAGAAAATGGAAAATCTAAAATCAAAGATTTTCATTCAGCAAAATTCTTTGCTTTCCAAAATATTGATTGATTTTTATGTTATTTTCATGGAGTAATTTATCTAGTTTCTATTAGTTGATATTAATTGGAGAATTACTGAAAACTTTGAAACACTGAACATCTATTTGATTCATTATTCAGGAATCTTTAGTGACGACAAGTAGCATTTAATGACAAAATATCAAAACATAACAATAAAACCAACAACAACAACAATGACTAATTCCCTTCATGAGTCGTTCAGTTTATACTTTATTCGAAATTTTGTAACGGAAGTCTTGTCTTCTTAAGTGGTGAGTTGTGCATTTTTTTCTCATTGACAACCATTTATTGAATACTTATGAAACATTATTTAAGCTTCAGCTTTCGTAATAACACTAAATAATGTATCGGAACTTAGTGGTTAAATACAAGTTCTTAAATTTGACTTCAAACGATATAACTTAAGAGATAGCTATTTGTATAGTTATACACACAGGATTACTGGAAATGTAGTAAAATGGAGTAGCATTCAAAACTCTAACACAATAATTAGATATTGGATTTTTTATTAATTAAGTCATTACTCCTTAGATATTGAGCAATCTATTTTATTCTGATATAAAGTATCATATATTTCAACAGTTGAGATCATGAGTCAATTGAAAGTAGATCACCATGGAAAACCTGGAAGCACTGGGCGGCCGTTTCGTTTTAGTATGGAACTTCTCAGTAGTGTGCATCTACAACTCCATTGATAATCAAACCAAAGAGCTGAATAATAATAAATGATAGTCGTACACTGTCTCAAGCTGATTACAGTTAGAAATTTAAACCATTAAACATTGGCTCAGTGGTCAGAAGATTAAATGCTCACCTTGAAACATGAAAACCTTGAATTCTGTCTTTGATGAGGTCGTGGAGACGTACTATTGTGATGTGCCTTACTAGGACGAAACACCTGTTCATTTCCTACTGGTTTTAAGTCTTTTAAATAACCAACACAACTATAAAAATGTTGTCATCACTGAATTTTCCTATCCAGTTTCTTTCGAATACTTTAATTTCTAACTCCTTATATATTATCGATAGTCAATTTGTATTTTGAATACAATGCATCTATATTTTTTTCATTTATAGCATTATTATTATTATCACGATGACCTAATTAGTGCTCGGCTACTTCATTCTTGTGAAATTTGTTTGGATTGCCCTCAAAATGTGTTCTTGATTATTCAATCCAATAAGTATGAATCGCGATCTCGGAAATATCATAAGAATTCTAAGTAGAACAAATAACTAAACAATTCAAACAGGAAATTTCAAAAAGTTAGTTAACTGGGGATTATTGTTATTTGAGTCGTACTCTTTGTATTAACGACTTATCAAATCTAAACTGGAAACTATTCAATCACCATGATAAAAGTATTTTCTTTCCTTCCAACTTTTCTAAGAAGTTGAAACTTTCCATTTATTTGCCAACATGAATGGTGACTTTTATGTTAAACAATAAACGTTATATGTTTGATAAGTGATTTAAATACAAGAATCAGTTCCCAGTAATTAATAATAATAATAATAATAATAATAATAATAATAATAATAATAATAATAATAATAATAATAATAATAATGAAAATTTCCTACGAAAAAGTTGGATAGTGTATTTTACAAAAGAACAACACAACAGAGACCCCAATTAAATCATATACTTACAAAAATGCACCGTCTTGATTTCCTTCACTAGCCAAACGTGATTCAGCTTCATATCGTCTTATAGTATGATGATACCATGGTTGTAATAAATGTAAATCTTTTATCACTAAAAAGCGTAAATGATTACGCATTGGACCATTTAATGCTTCTTCAACACTTTGGCCCTGTAAATAAGTGAAACAAGAGGATAGCAAGGTGAAATATGAATGGGAGAAACAAAAATGGATGATCGCTAGCAGTGGAATTCAGGACGCACGTTTTGTCTTATTTGGGACTCAGCAGCTCGAGTCTAGGAGTGAACATCAAATGTGAGATGCACGTACATCCATCTGACGAGTCCCAAATTGGACGAAACGCATATCTTGGATTCCACCACTGCTAGCCACTATCCATCCCTGCTTATAATGCTTGTGACTCAGGGCAATATCGAGGTAATCCACACAGTATACACATATGCCAATAAGAGACTGATCAATTGCAGTTCTAAACATCAATGGGAAGATTCAAACAAACAATACAAAATGAATTAATAAATGTGGTAAAATTGGGAATGCAAATTGGTGGATATCAGTTTAAGATTTTGAAAGTGAAGCATTCTCTTCGAAGCCTGAATGTGATCAGTTTGATTTTTAAGTGGGTTTGCAGATGCAAAATATTGAGAGTTCCATATTAGAATAAAACAACTGTCTACTGTTTTCCAGCTTTGAAAGACTGTTTAACTAAATTCGGTCAGTAATGTAAAAACAGATGATTATTGACCAATATTTGACGAATAAGGATAGGTTCATAATTAAAACTGTGAAAAATCTACAATCGCCACAAATCCCCTTTTACCAACAACAATTATAAGCTCACTACTGGCTAGTTTTAACATGCAATTCCCGGAATTCTAGTGAGAAGTCATGAAAATTGGAATTCAATCATGTAGAGTGCGAGACAATTATTCACTACACCCAGTTGATGAGGGTTAGACATTATCGTGAGTTGATTGAATTTAGACATTGGCACTTTTGAATCCTTTTTCATCGATCTACATGTTAAGCGTCCGCGCTTGAGGTCAAAAGACCTTAGCTCGACTCTCAGACGCAAGTTTGTGAATAGGCACTGCTGAGGAGTTTCATACTAGTATGAAACAGTCGTAAAGTGGTTCCAGGTTTTCAATGGTCTAATCAAGATCATTTAATGATGTAAACTATGAAAATTTTACAGTTCCCACAAATACCCCATGATAATAATATTTTCTATTGAATTGTATAGATACAGTGAAATAACGAGAGATTACAAGGCATTCCGTAACTCGTTAATCACGGTAAATATAAAAATGGCACTTCAAAAAATGAATAATGAACTGGAATTTCAGCTGTACCATAGGGGAAACTAGTTATTTATTTTGAAAATATTCATGTGGTTTCATTTAACCTTGTTTTCATGGTTATACGCCTCATGAACACAACAAACGAGAACTGTTCCAATAGTCATTGGTTCCTCTGAACAAAGCAAGCAACAGCATTTCAAACGAGTAAACATATGAAATGTCTTTTCATTCACAGGATGTATTTTATTCAAGATGATGGCTGTGGATACTTATCTTTATCAATAATCCAGTGAACTACAAATTATTTTTGCGAAATTCGCATAAAGGCCTACAAATCAATGCCTCAAAATTTTTCAGCCCAGAGTCATTTGATAAGAGACGAATCTACCAAACTGTGTCAATATGGCTCAATAGTTTAATACTTTTCCGGTTTTTCTTTAGGAACGCAATTCTATTTATGATATATATATATATATATATATATATATATATATATATATATATATATATTGCTCAGTGTACACATGAACAAAGATAATAAGAAATTCGAATTTACTTTTGTGATTAAACTATAAAGGCCTGAATAAAATATGCAAATATTGTCTAAGTCAAGTCAAATGACATTTGCATCATTTAATGTGTATCTCTATACAGATTTCTCTGTTTATATTTATGTGTGTATAGATTACAAAGAGTGATTCTGTCTGTTTATGTAAACTTTAGTTGGTCTCTCCTTTTCCTCATAAAATAAGTATGGGTAATAATGATAATAGCAGTTAGATTTTCGTTTTAACATCCGTTCTATTTGTGTTACTGACTTTATTCTATTCAATAAATAGACAAGTTATTTCAGGAATGCTAGATCGAATCTATCTCCAATGACCTTGACTGACGAAAATAGATCATCCAATCGTGTTGAAGATGAATGTATGGATTAGGATTGTGTGATAGATACATAAGCATATTTCTATTGTTTTATTTTTATTTCATTTATATTGTAAATAATTTTTCTATCCCTTTAAGCAAAATTTAGACAGGAAAATTAATTTATGACTGATCGAACAATTAGTTCCATACTCTTGTATCTGATTAACTTATCCGAGAGAAGTTAGACTTCTTATTTCCAAAATTCTTCACCCGAAAAATACTATGAGAAATACTATGACTGATGATTAAGCTTTTGTGAACATGAGGTGGCTGAAGTGAGTCGATTTATTCAAAAGCATATGTTTGAGATTACAACCAAGAATTCTCAGCGCAAAATGTGTAATAATTGAAGAAATATCTTTTCTTAATACCATACATCCATTATACGGAAATTCGATACAAGAATTCCTATAATATCACTTCTCAGTTATTTTTCCAAAGGACATACACTAATAGGACAACATATCAACTGTGTTAGCTTCGCTTGAATTGTGCAGTAGTTTACTTTAAGATAGGTAGCAAACCTTTTATAAAAGCATGTGAACGTAGTATACAGCGAATATACATCATTTGGAAAAATAAAACCATGATATATACTTAGTTATAAAGAAATTAAAGTGATCCTGAAGTTTTGATTGAATCATAATACCGTTTAATAACTTAATTAGTGTGTACAATCGATTGATTACTGAGACGTTTAGTTCTTTTAGTTTTTATCGAATTCTGTCGACTAGGTTTAAATGTGACTATTATTCTAAATGATTTGGCACCTCAGAAGCTTATTTTGATTTAAAGAGGTTGAAACTAGTTGGAAAGAAACCCTGCACTTAGATTTCACGCTAGTTGGCACTTACCAACAATGTGTACTTGCAATTTTGACGGAATTGGTCCTATTCGTGGGATTCACACATGGATCACCCAGTTTCAGTCCGACATTGAGCACTAACCAGTGATCAATGTATTGTGAGCATCTCAGTACTACAAGAGGTCAATCAAAGCCTGAATAACTCATTGCTAACGTATCAGACTAAGAGACTGGCTGATACAAGTTCATATCTCATAGAGCGTCAGTTCCTTCCTTCCTGATAAATCACAACTAGTATTAAACCTCAATCCAGGGATTATTTACGTCTACCCCTAGCCATCTACCATCTGTCAATGTGCACGTATATAATAAACTGTCCACAGTCCTTGATCTATTTTATTAAAGTAATTGATAAGAAAGCAAGTGTTTGTATGAGAATTCATATGAAACTAGATAACTTGGTAATGAACAACATAGATTAAAAACATTTTATGAATCATACATCACAAACAAATCATTACAGAAAAATAGCATGATTCGTTTGCCAGTGTAGCGAGGTCATAATGATAGGTTTTCAAACTGCAAAACCGAATAACATGGTATTACACTTTAAAATTTTCAGATAGTAGACATTTTATTCACAATGGTGATTTAATCTTTTAGTATATCAGGTGTTGATTGTAGGTAGTCAACAGGGGTCCCTGCTTGATCTGTTTTTCGTGTTATTTGAAACTCTTCAGCCAGGTATACTTGTAATCTTTGGGGATTTGATGATCCTTGGCGGGTTCGATTCAATGATACCAGATTCACCGTTACACAGCTATTGGTACCACAAGTGAACTCCTGTATGACTGAGATACGTTGACAATTAACTGATCAATAAGTAATGAACAATATCATCTATGTTAAGTTCGTTGTAGTGAAAATCAAATTCGATTCGATCTTTTAATATTTTAGAGTGAAAATGTCATGAACTGAATAGATCGTGACTAATCGTTAAGTGATTTAGGATAAGAACAGTTGGTTTTTTAGATGTAATTAGGTTGCAGTTATTAGAAGTTACATGAAATCACTGACAATCAATTTGAGTAGTATTCGACAATATGAGTTTCATAAGTGAAATTACCAATATATTAAAAATGACTGGTTTACAAATAGTGTATAACATAATCTAGAACTACTTAAAAAAGTATAGACTCGTTTATTTCCATCTTGAACAATTCATTTTTTTGTTGCTTAGAGATGGGCTTGCATAGTTTAGTTTAGATTTAAGTTTGTTCATGTAACAAATTGATATAATCCAAGAAACTAGCTAAGAAAAAAACCCAGACAGTTACTTTAATTTTATTTGAAACTCCTTAACAGTGTGCGTTCATCGCATCCATCACATATTGAATCTAACAAGATCAAATCATGTTACCTTTAGACCATTTAGTTGAAATCTAAATGGTCTACATTTCTAACTAAACTGAATGATAATAAGTTCGCTAGAAGTATTACACTAAGAATTTATGAATAGTGAGGTTAAATCTTTATCAATAATAGGAAAGTCAATTACTAACTAATAATCTTGGATAATTTTGTGCTAAATCATCAATTCAAAGCTTTTTTTCTTTTAGATTTGTATATCATTTATTTGATTATGTAATTGACTATCTATTTTATTACTGTTCATCAATGTACTAAACAATTTAATAGAATTCATTAAAACTCTCCCATTTCCTTTCTATGCTTACAACACATTAAACAATGTATGTTGATTTTTAACCGATTCCCTTTATGTATTTATGTGTATAGGTGTGTATCTGAGGGTGAGGGATGTAACACTGCCGATAATAATAATAATAATAATAATAATAATAATAATAATAATAATAATAATAATAAGAAGAAGAAGAAGAAGAAGAAGAAGAAGAAGAAGAAGCAGAAGAAGAAGACATGAACGCATAGATTTCTGAATTCAAATTCAATATGTTATAAATTTGACTGAAGAAAAAAGAAAGAATGAGAATGTAAGCAACGAAAAAACACAAGAAAAAACAACCATATTCGATAAAACGGATAGGATATACAAAGCCGTAAAAGACGTTATCAGTTTCATGTTGTTGTTTTTTTCT